CCATGACGGCATGACACACGAGGGACAAAGAAAAGGTCGGACCACTGGGCTGCACCTGCACGAGCAAGGATAACGGGTGTGATAATGGCCAGGCCAGGCCAGCCACGTCATTTCCAGACTGGCCTACACGCCTAAGAGTAATCAATCCATCAATCTAACCGACTCCGCAGGATGGACTTGCATCCCACGACTAAGTATATGCGACCGTCAATCCATGCCACATGAGGTAAATACGACGAGATCTCTTGTCTCCAACATCCCCGGACGGTTGGCTGGCAGTGAGAACAGAGTACATGCCAATCTCCCTTCCCCTCCGCATTAAACGGTGGATGGCCTTGTGATCATCGCGCAGTGACTTCGAGTATGTCTCCACGAGCTGATGACGACGAAGGCGATCGGTGAAAAGAGTTTCAAAAAACGGGAATTTGCCTTCTACGTGCCGCAAACCCCGATCTGAGGGACCCTAGAAGTCGCTGGAAGAATAGGAAGAATGGAACGCTTCTTACCAAGACAATGTCTGACACAGGAGGCCAGAGAGACGGAGATGAGCCGGAGCCAGGAGATACGGATACGGTAGACCAGCGGACGAGCGAGATGAAGAGTTTAACGGAAATACGGCCAGAAGAGCGAGGCGCGGGTGGGGCGGATGCTCGGGTGGGAAGTCCGAGGCGCGGTGAATTGCCTGATCCAGTCAGAAGCCGTCTGGTTCGAAAAAAAAAAAAATAAAAAGATGCGATCGTTAAGAAAAATTTTTGCAAGACCACTCGGGAACCATAGGGCCTGAACATGAGGGATAATCGAGAAACTCTTGGGTAATACCTACCATTGTCCTCCGTAGGTAGGGAACCGACAAATGGATCGTCAATAGCTCCTCACTTCAAACAATCGCCCCTTCGTTCAAAGCCAAGCCCATGGCAACATCCCTATAGGGCAGAGGTAGGCGGAAATGGCAAACCAAGCAGCGAATTTTAGTCTGGCTCATAAAGACTTGGGTATGAAGGCCTTCGAGATCATAATTCGAAGTGGTCAGGCTTCGGGAGCATTGCTTGTGAGGAGAAGTAAGCATTGATTGCCAAGGCTGTGCTCATTTTGCACGGCGGGTGCCCATTGATCAGCTCATCCATGAATGGGCCTTTGCATTCCACTACGCGATGGAGACAGCTTGGCGCGCCAGGAACAAATAAACGAACGGCTCGGGCTCGGTGTATACGGAGTAGACTAGAGAGCTGATAGCCTTGGTGGACACCGTCAGCAAAACACCCTGGACGGATCACGGCACTAGTTAATGGTAGTGGTGGGTGCTAAGAAATCATGTACGTACTGTGGTAGTGGTACACAGCAAGTACTCTGGGAAGTGGGTTACCCAGCTCCTCTACACACTAATTCTCTACTAGCTCCAACACTAGCAGTTCCCTGAACCATCGCATCACTCCATGAAGACAACCACTATTAGTTACCAGTCAAGCTGTTAGACAACGGCTCTGCTGGTAAAACTCCGGGGGTTTAAAAGTAGTATTTAACTGTCAAGCTCGCTTGCAGTCAATCAGTGGTGAACAATTTATCCGAAGTACAGTAGATACATCCCAGTGGCATCACAGCAGCTCTGGTGATCAGAGGGGAAAAGAGGTCCGTGATGTGGCCGGCAGACCCTTGACTCATTCCAGGGCCGATAATCTAGTCGAATACTAAGAGTTAACGTGCGTAGTAGCGACAGCTCTTCCCACACCCCCCCCCTCTCCCAGCAAATAGTTTACCGCCAAACTAACAGGGGGGCTGATTCCTGTGAGGAGATGACCCTGCCGCCGTAGTCCAAGTAATGGTAGCCGTTATTCTCCAAAGGCAAATCCCAAACAACGGAGCCAGAGCCAACGCGCATCGCCCATGACTCTCCTCCATTCTCCATCCTCCGGTTCGTCGCTGCCGTCCCTTCCCGTGCTGCTCTGGACCTGCCACTTCCGACTCTTCCGATGCTTTCCAGATCCGGTGACAATGGCTAATCCACAGTGGCCATCGCTAACTTCCCATGGCAGGTCATACGGCAAATCAATCAATATTATTAAGATCCCCCCCGATGGCGCCGCCCAGCGCCGTTGCAGAGGCACCTCACTGTTACAGGAAAGAGGAGTCAGAAAAAAAAAATTCCCTCCGTTGCAGTGCTTATAAATTAAAGCCTAGCCCCGCCTTTCCATCCTATCGAGAGAAAAAAAGAGGGAGAAATCGCATTGCGACTCTGGCATGGCACTTTCTGGACAACGAAAATAACCGCCGTCTTCTAGTCTCTCACCCACTGCCCTGTCACCAACCACCCTAAGCACTTCCCTCACTCCTAATCTCGCACTGCTGTCGTTGCTTCCAGCTGTTGCTGTTGCCGTTGATTTTTGTTGCTGTCAACGCCGCGATCAAGCTCTTAATCTTATAGCGTGAAGAAATGGATACCCAAACAACCGTCTTGGCGTCGCGCCAGTCCGGCCGGAGCTCCGAGAGCAGCTCCCTGGACGCTGTTGAGAAGCAGAAGCTCGCCAACAAGGAGCTTCCCCAAACTCGCCCTGATCTGCACAATTCGGCGTCGCCCAAGCGATGGAAGACCTTTTGGAAGGCCTTCCGGTATCTGAACAACCTCACCCCCAAGCAGGTCGATGACTTCATGGCATCCTACGTCATCTACAATCTCGACTGGTCTGACGAGAAAGCGATGATTGAGACGCTAGGTCCGGACTATCAGGCAAAGGTTGGCGACTGCCTCAAGGCATACTATGGAGTGCTCAACCATCTGTGCGCGCTGGGCGACGTGGAGAAGATGTACATCCCCCCATTCATGAGCAAGAAGGCGACCGTGCTGGAGAACCAGTTGTTGTACGAGGAATCGATTGCGCAGGATATCGGCCTTAGCGCCGGTGATCACGTGTTGGACTTAGGTTGCGGTCGCGGAAGAGTGGCCGCGCACATGACGCAATACTCCGGCGCGAAGGTCACGGGACTCAACATCGATCCCAATCAGATTGGCCAGGCTAAGGTTTACAATGAGAAGCTCGGCTTCACGAATAATTCTTTCGTCGTCCAGGATTTTAACAATCTTCCACTGCCTTTCGAGGATGCTAGCTTCGACGCTTTCTACCAGATCCAAGCACTCAGTCTGTGCAAAGACCTTCCCTCCCTCTTCCGCGAAATCTACCGCGTCGTCAAGCCCGGCGCCAAGATCTCCCTCCTCGATTGGGTTAGCCTGCCCGACTACGATGCGAGCAACCCCGAGCATACCGAACTCATGCGTCGCGTAAAGCCTTTGATCGGCGCTGTTGGCACTCCCACCCCCGAAAGTCTGGAGAAGGCCCTTACCGATGCCGGCTTCTCTGTCGTCCGCTCCGACAATGCCAGTGTTGGAGGTCTGCAGGCGCCCCTCATTGACAAGGTTGACTTCTACTTCCGCTCCATGCGCCAGGTCATTCTGGGACTGGTCAAGACCCACGTGTTGCCCCGCCACTTCAAGACCCTGATCAACCGCTTGTGTCTCGACGGCGAGGCTTTCATCAAGATGGATACCATGCGACTTGTGACGACCAGTTATCGCATCATCGCCCAGAAGCCTCTTCAATAAACTACACACACTAAGAGCGGGACTGGGTAAAGGGAATCGGGCATTTGCTGCACATCGAGGATTCATCCACGCGTAAGAGGGTCACCGCCCCTGCATTCAGGAAGCAGACCATTGTTTGTGGGCTGGGGTTTCAATGAGACCCCAACCGTGATAGCTGGATGGGACGCTTTCCCACATGCAGTATCCCGCGGTTGGATGTTTCACGTCTGACGCATCTCTCTCCGCAATATGCTGATGATAAGAGCGAGTCACTCAACTTTGGCACATTTGAGTTCGTCGCGCCGACTTGATCGCCGCATCTTTCCCGGTCCTGTGGCCGCGGTGCGTTTCTGTCCGTAAAGTGAGTGCCTGCTAATGTCCCGATATCGCACGCTGGCCTCGCTGCGCAAAGCGTTCATCTATTGTACGATTGTACGATCGGCTTTCTCTGACTTGGTTTTGAAGATATTTGTTTTTTTTTCGGTTCGCATCTATATACCCTATAATCTCTGGCGGCTTTGCGGATCATACCCATTTCATGACCCCATGGCAGAGCGCCCCGACAGTTCTTTGTTACCAACGCTCGCTCGCTTGCATTCTTCCTGGTCAGTTGGGTTGCATCCATCCTGCGTTGTATTTCTGTTCAGCTCTGCGAAGCCTAGCCGGTGTTTTTGGTGTCTCGCATATGGTTTCGTTTCATTCTGATCTTAGGATACCCCATGTAGATAGGGCTGTCCGTATAGAAGTACATAGACTAATACCACTTTTTATTCTGCGATGACTGTCAATGAGAGACTGCGAACCCAAGTATACCAACGGACCGAGCATCACCGATAGTTGGTCGTGCTCTTATTGTGCTAGTCTGGCAAGCCCGCCTTGTGATTTCCGTAAGGTATGCCGGCAAATCCGACACACGTCACATGACCGCGGGATGTTGGGGGATGCCTCGACCAGACAATACAACAACATGCCGCTGCCTTCATGCACGCCATAGGCTTTTGGCCAGCATTCCTAAGCTTCCCTGCATCCTGCTGCCGACCCGAGTATGCAATGCCAAGTCAACGATTAGACTGGGAGGATCGCAATCTATGCTTCTGGCTCGCTCGCCATAACTCGAGGTACCCACCAACACTTTAGTCTGTGTACCCGCACAGAGGCACTAACTCCAGGATGAGCGGGTACCTATCCCACGAGTTCCTCAAGCAGCAACGTATAATAGGTGGGCTGATATCGTGAAAACATTCCATTCAATCCATCCTCTCCAAGCACTGACAGCGACTAGGAAAGCGCATCACGGACCATCCATATCACCACGAGGTGTACCGGCCGCAGGGATGTGTCTCCACTCATCCGCGCTGGAGTCTCAAATCACAGGGCGCCTTTCGAGCACGTTGTCCGTGGTTCCCCCGCCCTGGGCCTGGGCATAAGGTCCCTATGGCACCCGCATCAGCGTTCCCTTATCGCTTGCCTAACTAAGCACTTGCTTTATAACCTCGCCCTCAATCAGCGAAGACCAGCCGTTTTGCACTGCTTCGGATCGGCCTGTGCTGTGGGAACTCTCCTCGTTGACATTGGGAATGATGCAAGTGCCCTCAACCCTAGTACACGTTGATCAGCTCCTGGGGATCCGCACGATCGTCGCCCGTCAGTCACCCGCCACATTGCAGTGTGCACAGTTGAGGGTCCGGGCCGTTGCTACTTAAAGTCCCTTGCATCTGCAATGAGCCACCCAGGCGCCCATTTGGAAGCCGAGGACTGGCCTCTTCCGCTGTCCATATCTCGTCCAGAAAGCATAGTCTCTTCCTCCACGAGCTCTTCCGGTCCCAGCTATGCCACATCGCCTATTTTCCCGCCTCCGCTGAGTCGTACGGCTTCTTCAATTGGATCCCGGTCGAGGCAGGCTTCATGCTTCTCCTTATACGAAGACACCTGCCGCTTACCGCTGAACCATTCTGTGACCATGTGCGTATTGCCCAGTATCCCGTGCAGACGACAACCGCTGATGGAGCCATTGCAGCTCCTTCGTCCGGAGTAGTAAACTCTTCAAGCTACGCTTCACTTGCATCGACATACGCAAGGATGCCACGGGAAGTTTGAAGAGTCTTGAGTTGGGCGGGGGACCGGGTCAGCAGACTCCTTTCATACATACTTGTAAGTGTTCGAAAAGGGCCTGCGGATGACCATGCTAACCCGTCGTGATTCATCTGTAGTCAACGATACCAAGCTTCCAGTTCCCCATCTTGAACATCCAAAGCTCCCGAACGAGTCGTCGCTGCGCGTTTCCTTCATGGACGAGCAAACCGTTCAATCGGCCCATAACGTGTTCCTCACACAGATCTCTTATACTTTTGATGACTGGCATGGTGGGTAGCAGAATACTTTAGAAGTGGTCGAATTTCTGCTGATTCCCAGTTGCAGATTGTGTGCAGTTCCAAGAATTAGTCCTGGGTTCAAAATTGGTCTTCATAGCAGGCATCGCCGAGGCGAAGTCCAAGGGCCGAGGGGAAGAGTGCATCAGCCAGAACCTACGCATTCTACGTAATCATAACGGCAAACAAGTCATGCTTTTCTTTGCCAACTCACAACGGAAGGAGTTGAAGCGTTATGTGTCCATTCCGATCAACTGCATCGACAGCTTCAATCCGGGCAAGAAGGCAGGAAAGCCGGTGGTTCTCCAGTTGCAGCCCAACTTTGACATTCTCTCCCAGATGAGGACATTAACTATCCAATTTCTTGATGATTTGGGTAGGTTTCTCTTCGAACATCCCCAGCGCGATTGCTAACGTGCTCCACTAGACCGGAAAGCATTTTGCCAATTTCTAACGGAAAGCACCACATAATAATACAACACACTCCATCAAACATGGAATACGATACCCAGGGGAAACGCGGTTCGCAAAACAGGCATAGCATCTACTAATAACCCATCATGGAACCAGTGGTTTACGAGTCTGCAGCAAGGAGTTTAGAGGGCGTTGGGTTCTCAGGTACAATGCATAATCTTTTCCCTTTTTTCTTGCTTGCTCCTGTGCGGCCACGCGTCAATTTCATTTACAATACCATAACTTTATTGTGAAACTTCAGACAAGATTGGGACCTTACGAGGCACAGGGGGCACGTGTTTGGTCGAACCAGTAGGACGGCTTTCAGCTATAACCAGGTTTCATCGCTCGGCGAACTCAAATGTCACAAATGGCGAATTTGCCTCGTATCCAGTGGAAGGCAGCTCGGGAGCCTGGCCAGGGACCGAAAGAACTCCGGGATCATGCTACTACTGGCGTCTCTCGTTCATCTGACAGAGGCAGCCAAGTGGGCAGGTGGGCCCCAATGAGTCCCCATCCTGTCCGCACGTGCCGCACGTGGAGCGAGGAATTGGGCGGGTGCCCCAGGCATTGAGCTCCACTCCGGCCGCTACTGCACGCACTGTCACAGCTTCCTCCAATCACCCCGTCGCATTTCTGCTTAGTTCAAACCTTCCCGGGAGAAGTATATTGTGCCTCTGGCCTCATGGTGGGCCTCGAGTACCCCTCTCAGACTCATCCTCCCCTATCTTCCAACGTTGCGCCATCCTTTTTCTTAGACCTTCATCCTCAGATCTGGGGTCCGCAGGATCGATTCTTCCTACTGTACTTGCAGCTCGATGGCCCTTCATGATGTCATCCGTGTACAATCTGATTTCTAGAATCCATCTGATCCAAAACGCCAACACGAACATACAGCCATGGGCAAGTTCCGCACGCGTTGGTATAAGACCGACCGAGCTCAGGATTTTGAGCATGAGCAGGTAGAATCTTCTTAGATGCTTTACATCGTCAATCTGCTAGCTAATACTGTGGTGGTGCCATAGGATCGAGATGTTCGCGCTCGGCAGGTGTACGACACAATCGATCGCCAGGGATTTCAATACTTGATCGTCTTCGTTGCCGGTGTTGGCTTCTTTCTTGATGGATACACACTGTTTGCAAGTAACATGGCACTTCCGATGATCTCCTACGTCTACTGGAAAAAGGAGGTCTCTTCGATCAAGATCACTCTATTCAACATTGCTACATTGGGCGGGACGCTACTGGGACAGGTCTTGTTTGGGTACCTAGCTGATCGGAATGGACGCAAGAAGATGTATGGATTGGAGTTGATTCTCATGATCACGTCCACACTGGGCGTTGTGATGGCCTCCCGCGGAGAAAACGATTCAATGAGCATCTACGCATGGCTCATCTGGTGGCGTATAGTTGTGGGAATTGGTGTCGGAGCCGACTATCCTTTGAGTTCGGTCATCACAAGCGAATTTGCTCCCACTAAGCACCGAGCAAGGATGATGGCTTCGGTTTTCTTCATGCAACCCTTGGGGCAGATCTGGGCAAACCTCGTGTCGCTGATTGTTATCGCCACCAGCCGTTCAGATACCAATGATTTGACCATGTCTGTTGATAGGATGTGGCGCTACGTCATTGGTATCGGTGTGATACCGGCAGCAATAGCAACTTGCTTCCGGTTCTTCGTTCCAGAGTCGCCACGCTTCCTCATGGAGATTGACGATGATCCAGTAAAGGTCGAGTTCGATGCAACCACACTCTTTACTGATCCAAATGTTGTTTCCTCCTCCCCGACTCTCGAAACTGAAAGCTGGCACAATTTTCCTGGGCAGGCATATTCCCTGACTACCATCACGGCCGAGGACCGATCCTCCACATCTCAGACCGGGATCCTTCAACCAGCGACTCTGAACTCGCACTGGCGCTTAACGTGGAAGGACATCGTACAATACTTTTGGGTGGAAGGCAACTGGCGGACTCTAGCTGCGACGGCCGTGTCCTGGTTCTTCTTAGACTTTGGCTTCTACGGCATCAGTCTCTCGAGCCCGCAATTCTTGGCTAAAACCTGGGGGTCTCTTCATTTGAGCGCACCAGCGCCTTACTGGGAGACTAACGACAGTCCTGGGGCAAGCGTCTATGACATGTTCTTTGCAAGTTGTACCCACGCGCTGGTGATCTTGAATGTGGGTAGCTTTGTCGGCGGACTTCTTCTCATCCTGGTGATCCACAAACTGGACAGAGTCGCCCTACAGAAGTACTCGTTTCTCGCACTATCCGCACTCTTCATTGCCCTAGGTTGCATGCTTATCACCGTACAAAAAGAGGGTCCTGTGGCCGTTGTTTTGTACGTCATCGGCCAAGCACTCTTCAACTTTGGTACGTAACCTTTCCACCGTGGAGTCGAATATAGATGTCTCTAACCATCATTTCTATAGGACCCAATGCTACAACATACATCATCCCCGCTGAAATCTTCCCCACCCGTTACCGTGCCACCTGTCACGGACTTAGCGCCGGCGCTGGTAAGATCGGTTCTATAGTGGTGCAGGTATTTTCAGCCTACTACAACTTCGGCGGCGGTTTCGGGGAAGAGCCGGTGAAGCGTCACGGCTACGTTCTGATTGTCTTTGCCGTATGCATGCTCTTTGGGGCGATGGTCACATGCTGGATACCTCCAATCCAGAGAAAGCCGGATGGATCTGGAAGAGGTAAATTGTGGGGTGGCAAGACGGAGACGCTGGAGACTCTGGCACTTGGTCGACTCGGCTTGGATAGTCGATACGCGAATCAAGGTAGACGGAGAAGGAGGGATGTTGTTACATGATGTGACAACTCCATCAAGGTGGCGGTTTCATCTATTCTGGGTATATAATCACGGGTACATATAAGGGTACTTTAATTTCGCTGTATATATTTGCCAGTGGTCGGGTTAATAGACTGTTATTCCCCGGTTGCTTATTTGCTCGCAGCAATGCTGTACATACAAGAGAAGAATCAGAAGATACGAATATGGTATGCTGATGATAACGGTGCAGCTTCTAAGGTGACACTATAGTGAGATAACGAGCTAGAACATGGAGGCCAAACAATAAGTAAATATATACGTTAAATAAAATATATATATATATATATATATAGTAAAATCGAAAACAAAATAAATAAAAGGTAAAAGAAAAACCAGATAATAATCGGAGAGGGGGGGGTAGAATGGTAATAAATGAGATTCATTTCTACCGATGAGAAAAAATATGGTGCATCATCCGTGAATCGAACACGGGCCTCATCGATGGCAACGATGAATTCTACCACTAGACCAATGATGCTGGTTGATGTCTGGTCAATTCTTATTACTAATATAGCCTTCCTCATATTGATACGCCAAACAAACTTTCGATTATGTCCGCCTATGCGGGCGAAGTCCACTCACTTATGATCATCACGTAGACAACAATGTAAATGGTCGGAAAACCGAATCTTAGATCTATTGAATCTCATTACCTTGTACCTATAGTTTCTGTCTGAAAACGAGTTCTGTGTTTGTATTTATTCGCCATTGGTTTCGCTGTTGGGTTGCTTTTTGTCGTACTGGTAGTAGTAGATACTCTTGGCGAGTGAATATATATAATCTTTATAGTATTAGAACCGCATCGGTACTCCCGAGTTGCTGAATGGTCAACCCTAAAGAACTAGTAACAATTGAATCGTTCGCAGTACTCTGATCAACCTTGCGACCATATTGATCATCACCCAACCAGTATCACCGTCTTCAGTACCTAGTACTCAAAGCTGCCGACATCTCATCTGTTAGCTCATCCCCCTGCCACCACACCACAATCCGACCACAAATCTTTGGTTCCAACCCCGCTCCCACCCAACCCACTTGTATCTCTATCAACGGAGTACCATTTGTCGCGATGGGTCGATCGGCATCGGCTCCTGCCCCACCAACACGTAGAATGGTTCACGCTAAAAGCATTGAAACCCACGATGATGATAGATAATCCCGCACCTCTCGATGAGAGCTCCCCACAGTGGACAGTACGTGGTAAGCGTCCTGTCTTCTGAAGGAATTTTGATTGGTCGGGTGTCTTGTGCCACGCAGGCTATCATAATCAGACCTGCAGATGTTCGAGTCAGCGTAGTTGGGATCGCTGATGCCGATTTTGTGACCGTGTACAGGTGGCTAGGATGTCGTGGGTCGGGTTTGTGGTAAGGATGGATAAATCCCCAATGAGGATACTAGGAGATCTTCCTCGTAGCCTAGAGAGGTAGATGGGTGTTTGGAGTGCTTATGATCTGCGGTGGCTAGCTGAATAGGTTGGATAAAAGTCCACTTAGGTCGAAAGGAGGTCCGGTTGTCGGTTGTGGAAGGCGAGATGGCGTGTTATTGTCCGCGAGCTGGGCGCTGAAAGGTAAAACCCTGATCAAAGATATCTTAGTACCTAACTCCGATAGCGGCCGGGCTCACGATGCAGCCTGCACGAACGCTGTGCTGGTGAATGTGATGGAGGCAGCTGTGGATCGCATGCAAGGGTGGGTGGGTGTGACGGGCTCATATTGGAAGAGATAATATCCGTCGGTTCCTTCGGGTAGTTGTATGAAGCAGAAGCTTGACTGACAGAATCGACTAGTGACAGAATGAGCCAGTGTAGCAGATATTGTGTCTTACCTGCCATCTGATAGATAGCCTCCGGAGTTGCTCAGCCGGGTCCCTGGACGATGTCTGGTTCGGATCCAGAATCAATTTGAATATACCGACCCAGCGAGATAATGACCCATTGCCAATTTCATGGGGATGGAATCTGGTAAGTAGCACGGTTGAAGCAAGGTGAGATCAACGGTGGAACCTCAGGAAGAAGGGGAAGGTGGGGATTTCGTGCGGGGTCACGCTCCCGGCTGGGTTCCTTCCCTTTGTTGCAATCAATCATCTTCCCCTCTTTCTGCATCTTTCCGGATTCAGAGCAGGATGTAACCACTCCTTATTCTGCTCAATTCGTGCATAATTGGTACGGTTCACCGCAGTATAATTGAAAATTATGCTGCCATCTCACTCGTCAAGATCTGCGATGAAGATCTGCAGAATCCAGACCTGCCAGACTGTGGGGTGTCCAACCAACCAAGCCGACAGGCCAGTTTAACGCCGCCACGACCCGTCGGACCCCCCAGCACACCCCGAGCTAGCAGGAGAACTACCTATGCCGACCGGAACGAGCTGAAGAATGGGCGTGCAGATACGAATCTGACTAACCACATTGATTCGGTGAGTTGTCATGGCTAGGTGCTGCAGTGCTCAGCTGTGGCATTTGAAGAAGCGGGGTTGGTACTACCCCCGCTGATTTAAACCTGGCCTCTTCTCTTCCCCTCTTTGACCCGCTCAGGGAAATACCACCCCTGCTCTACTCTCAGCTCAGTGTTCCTTCATCATAGGCACAATGCCTTCCGAAGACGTGACGACCGGCTCGGTCAATGTACCCGTCGGCACATTTCCCCAGACTTGTTCTTCGACCGATGTCAATGCCGACCAGGTCGCTTCACAGCTCGTCGAGAAGATCAACACAGCTCTTAGCAAAGGAGATGTGCAGTCTTTTTCTGACCTGTTTTTGGAAGATGCCTACTGGCGCGATCACCTCTGCTTGACATGGGACTTTTACACCGCGAAAGGCAAAGAGAACATTCACGGCTTGCTCAAATCAGGCCGTCTCCCAAGCAAAATCGAGATCGACCGCTCGACCGCATTCCGAGGCCCCTACGTCGGCCCTATCGATGCCTTCGGCGACGTCACAGGCATTCTCTTTTACATCACGCTCACCAGCCCCCTGCTCCATGGACACGGTATCGTTCGGCTGGCAGAAAAGGATGGCGAGTGGAAGATTTTCACCTTCTTCACCTCCATGGAGGGTTTCGTCGACCACCCAGAAGCGGTGAACTTCAAGAGACCCGTGGGAGCACAGCACGGCGAAACTTTAGATCGAAAGAACTGGAAGGACCGTCGGACGGCCGAAATCGAAGCTAAGGACCGGTCTCCAAATGTTGTGGTCGTCGGTATGCTACTAACCTACCGACCTGTTACTATCTGATGTGCTGACCCGACCAGGTGCTGGCCAATCTGGTCTCATCATTGCGGCCCGCCTTAAGATGCTGGGTATTGATGTTCTGATCATCGACCGAGAGGAGAACATTGGGGACAACTGGCGCCAACGCTACCACCAGCTGGTCCTGCATGACCCTGTCTGGTTTGACCACTTTCCCTACATCCCGTTCCCGCCGAATTGGCCGATCTTCACACCCAAGGACAAGATAGCCGATTGGTTTGAGTGCTATGCTAAGCTGCTAGAGCTGAATGTATGGACCAAGACCGACATCAAGGGGTCCTCATGGGACAACAACGGAAAACAATGGACTCTTGATTTGCAGCGGCGGAAGGAGGACGGAACGGTGGAGAACCGCACCCTGAACCCCCGGTATATCGTCCAAGCCACTGGCCATTCTGGAAAGAAGAATGTGCCTGATTTCAAGGGCATGGATTCCTTCCAGGGCGACCTCATCTGCCATAGCAGCGAGTTCCACGGTGCCAAGCCCGAGTCGAAGGGTAAAAAGGCTGTCGTGGTTGGGGCGTGCAATTCCGCCAACGATATTGCACAAGATTACTATGAGAATGGATATGACGTGACGATGGTGCAGCGCAGTTCAACCTGTGTGATTTCCTCGGAGTCGATTGTGGAAATCGGCCTCAAGGGCTTGTACGAGGAAGCAGGACCCGGGACCGAGGAAGCCGACCTTTACCTTTGGAGTATTCCGGCAGAGCTGTTCAAGGCCCAGCAGATTAAGGTCACCAAGCGTCAGAACGAGAACGACCGGGCGACTTTGGAGGGGCTGGCGCGGGCCGGGTTCAAGGTAGACCGCGGTCCAGACGGTGCGGGTCTGCTCGTCAAATACCTCCAACGTGGTGGAGGCTACTACATCGACGTCGGGGCCAGCCAATTGATCATTGACGGCAAGGTGAAGGTGAAGCAGGGCCAGCAGATTACCGAGGTCCTCCCTCACGGACTCCGGTTCGCGGACGGATCGGAGCTCCCGGCGGACGAGATCATCTTGGCGACAGGGTATCAGAACATGGCCACCCAAGCACAGCTCGTGTTCGGAAAAGAGGGGGAGAAGGTGAAGGATGTCTGGGGATTCGACGAGACGGGCGAAATGCGCATGTGGCGGCGGACCGGACACCCGGGCCTGTGGTTCATGGGCGGAAATCTGGCCGTCTGTCGGTATTACTCGCGGTTGCTGGCGCTACAGATCAAGGCACTAGAAATTGGCGTCACTTCCTACGACGGTTAGAGAGACTTGGCGGTCGGGCGAAGACAAAGGAATTAGGTATGAAGTAGATATAATTGGTAATAATAAGTTGAGCAGCTGCAATAAATGTCGCAACTCAACAATCTATTGAAAATGAAAATTCCCAGGTATCACAAAAATATCCATAATAGACCCGCTATGCATGATAAAAAAAAAATAGAAAAAAATAAAAAAAAAATATGCAATCTCCAAGTGATAGTAATGAATACCATCGGAGCGGAGAATTCTGTAAATCCCGTGTTCCTTCCTTTCCCCCAAGAAAAATAAAAAAAAGGTCCAGCCAAGCCGGACACTCCCACCCACCGACGAACTGAACAACAGATACCCCCTGAACCAATACCTCCGTACGGAGTAGACAATGGAATGATGGTATGTAGGTAGGTAGGTAGTATTACAACCACCCCTCCATCCACGCAACGTAAACCCCCAGCGTCAATACCAACGTAACCACCACCTCCTCCTCCCCAGCACCTAATATCCCCACCTCCTCCAAAAACCGCACTTGTTTCGCATCCCACCCGCCAACCCTCAGCCCCTTTTTCTCTAGTCCAGCCAGCCCCGACCGTCTGACACGTTGCTGCTGATCGGCGCCAGCTGCTCTTTCCCCTCCGATGGCACTAATGCATAGCACAAACCGGGGATTAGCATTGGCATTAGCATTGGCATCGGAGCTACTAGTGGAGTCTTCCTCCTCGCAAGGGTTTCCTGTTGTTGTTGTTAATGTATCGGAGTCCGTTGATGCCGACACCGCCGACCCCGACGCGGTTCTTGGCCTTCCTCCTCCTCCGGACTGGGTCTGGGATTGGGCTTTCCGCCGCCATTCGATGATGACGGTTTCGCCCGAGGGGGTTTTCTTCTCGCGTAGGATGAAGCGGTAGTTGCCTCGTGGGGTGCGCGTTGCGGAGTAGGTTTGTTGTGTGGTTGGGAGGTAGATTTCGTCTTCTTCTGTTGTAGTAGTAGTAGTAGTTGTTGTTGTTGTCGTGGCTCCTTGTGTGGTGGTGGTGGATTTCTTGGGGTTGGGGTTTGTGTTGTGGTTGTTGTAGATTACGCCCGCGGCAATGGGGTAGGTAGTACTTGTACGTGCTGATGATGATGATTTTGGTGTTGAGGTGATGTCGGTGTAAGCGTCGCTCTGCAGGATGTAGAGATCTCGGCCGTGGATTTTGCGCGGACAGTTTGGGAGAGATTTCCCTTGTCGTGGGGGTTGGTAGATTTCGAGAATGGGGAGGGCCCGTTGTCGGTTTGAGGTTATTGAGAGTTGTTGGATTTGGAGGAGGAGACGCGGGGTGAGGCGGAGGCAGGGGGAGGATTTGGGAGGGGGGTGGGCGAGGGGGAAGGTGTGTTTGGGGGTTTTTGTTCTGTTTCATCATTTATTAGAGTTGGTTATGGTGTTGATGATGTATGTGGTGGTTTGGATGTACCTTGTCTGGCTGGAGATGGAGCTCTCTGCGTCGCTGTCTTGGGTGGACATTTTGTATTTGTATACTACTACCAGTACTGGTGTACGGGTGGTAGTTGAAGGAAGGAATTGTCAAGGATAGTATAGATAGTAAGTGGTAAAGAATGATTTCAAAATCATCACTTCAATGAGAAAAGTCCGCATATTTATTACTCACACCCCATTCTCACCCAGCCCTGTCGGTCTACTACTATCTCTGCATAGATCGTATTCGTTCCCATCGCACGGGGCGCCGATCCAGGCACTAACTTTCTACGTACCATCTTACAGGATGCAGAGAGAGTGTGTATGAGGGTGTGACCAACTAACTAGTCTTGGTTGAAACCCACTCATCACACGAAATTATTTTCACCGTTCAAGCTTATTCTTTTTTTATAGCCTTGGCGGGGCGGGGCCATGGACTGGGCTGAAGGGAAAAAAGGGAACGAAAAGGACGGAAACCAAGATGCAAGTTGAATTAATCAAAGATTCAGCTTGCGTTCGGGACATCTCATTCGTTGAGAACTTCCCCCGGTGGGGAAATTTCTTTGCGACTCCCGGCAGTAGAAGATGAGGTGAAATGATTCCCGCAACAAATTGGGGTATCGGATACGGATACGATCGCTGCCGAGGTATTTGCGAATCTCCGATTAGTTGGTTATTATTCTTCTATAGTTAACTTGGTTATAGGACTCGGGATTGGATTGGCTGGTTAGATCGGGGAGTTGGGTGCAATTTTCACCGGATCACGGAGTCAACCACTCGCAGCCCCCTTGTTCAGTCCCTTTCTCCTCTTCCTCCTCCTGTTCATGGGTGGTTGCAGATGTAGTAATGTTGTCGGTCGGGCAGCGTCCGAGCTAGACTATCTTCCGTATTCGTTTTCTAGTCAGTTCCGGGGATTAGTCGTTTGGAAAGTCTTGGCCGACAGAAAGAGGCGGTGTTAAAATCCCTGATTGATGGTCTCCGTGGCAAGGCTGTGGCATCCTGTCAGACTGTCAGATTCCTTTGTTTTGAGTTTGTAGGAGGAGCTTGCATTGCTGGGACGGTCAGGTGTCTGACAGTCAGCCTTGTGAGGCTTACATAACGACCTGCGAAGTACTTACTCTATTGGGACTAGTTTGGACACAGTAAGATCCTGGAAGTTTCGGGCGCAACTTGGCTTGTATGGGAAGGATTCTCTGCTTATGCTGCGGGAGACTAGAAACGTGTTTGGTGATTACTATGGAGTAGATAAACACGTTGTTCTGATGATTTGATCGATATGGAGAAATTGATTGGTCTTGTTATGTGCTGCGGTTGGCGATGCTCTTTGACTACTAGTACCTTATGGTTGCTGACCTACAGAGCACTCGATTACTCTGGATCAATTCTGCCCCCATTATCCTATTCGCTTCCTCGCAAAGGGTACTCCGTACTCCGTAGAAATTGATCAGATAAACAGATATCAGAGACATTATTTCTCCATGGACCAATCATACACCCTGGCTGGTCGAGATGTTGAAGCATCGCGAAAATCCACTTCTATTCATCAAGACGTGTCGGCGTGTTGAAATCTAATCTGATGGTATGTATGTAAATGTGAATGTAGTGTTTCAATGTTGTGGTGTTTGGTTGACTTTGTAGTGTTTGGTGTTTAGTGCCAACAGTTGCCGAAGGGGAAAGCACAGGGGAGATAGAAAGTGCGACCGAACGGATTATTATATACTCCACTGTCCCTTTCTATACTGGACCCTCACAATAAGTATTAGTATTGTACATTGGAGACAATAGTTTCTCTAACCAGGACTACTGGTCTGAGCTGCATCTACACAATGATATGATGAACATCACGGACTCCAAAACCCACCCGACCGGTCCAAAACCCGCCAAAAGCCGAGCATCCACAGTGTTCAACCAGTCAACTTCTTTTCACTAACCATGCAAGGAAGAATGCGGGGCGAGAAACCAGCAATGGCCTGACTCGCTATCTATCCTGCATACTATCGCAGTAATCAGGTGGAAGCTGCAACCGCCATAACAAATTTACAAGTCTAGGCCTTTAGGCAAATATTTAAGCTCACCGATGGCATCATGACTCCACATATTCAGTAGCATTCATATATAAGCCACATCACCCTCATCCATCCACTCTAGGCATTCCTTACCACCCATCTCACCACCTACATAATACCACTACACCATGTACACAACAGACACCCTCCCAACAAGCTTCTGCATAGCCCAAGCAATCGGCCTCAGCGGCGCCGCTTGGCTCTCGGGTACTACTCTCCATTCATCCTGAACCTAAACTCTCGCTAACAATAGAATATGCAGGAAACATATTCTCTCTATCCCTAATAACAATTCCAGCTCTCCTCCAATCCCACAAAGAGCACAGGATTCCCCTATCAACAATCACCAAACAATGGGCCCTCGTCTATGAAAGGGGCAAGAACCGCGCTCCCCCGATCGCTCTCTTCACCGCCACCACCCTCTTGTATTTGTCCTGGGAGACGAGAGCACAGAGCACATTGGCAGCGATTGCACCACGGGGAGCTACCACTACGTATGCGATCGCTGCTGCATTGACGATTGCCATTGTGCCGTGGACTATTCTGGCTATGAAGGGCACGAATGATGCTTTGATGGAGAAGGCCAAGGTGGGCGTACAGGAGGAGAAGGATCTTCAGGAGGGCGAGAGGGTGTTGGGGTTGTTGAATAGGTGGGCGTTGCTTAATGGTGCCAGGGCTATGTGGCCTCTCGCTGGGTTTTTGGTGGGTTTGTTGGCGGTTGTGCCTTGATTTAATTGTTATGGGTATTGTAAGTTGAGAGATAGGAAAATGGGCGTTAATGGGTATTGTATGATTATATTGTGAAATAAGATGATGCATCTTATATGTATAGGTTCTTAAATGGTGGCATAACATTTTTAATGGCAATTGTTCGGTAATGTCGTCACTGATGAATAGTATCATATTCCCGGCTGCGAATTATCGGCTTATCACTGCCCCGGAAGTTATATATTGTACTACCACTAGTTGCATTGATCTTGAGCAATAAATCTTCGGGGAATCTGCAAAAGTCGGGGTATTCACAATCCAGTTAGTTGTTAAGGTACCTGTCCCGGATGGGAGTATATGCTTCTTACGAGGAATATCCATATTCACGACTCTGAAAGCACAGTCAATATATCATTCAATACGTGCCGCAAATGCAAGCTTCACCAGAGCTAATAGGCAATGGGCAACATTCCATGTAAGCCCCCATCATTCCCAGTCAACTTCCGTAGCATAAATACCCATTATCTCCCCCATTCAGACCTTCTTCTCTATCTCCATCTTCATACTTTCGCCATTTCCACCCACATTCCCTTTCCAAATCTTCAAGAAAGAACATTGCAACACTAATCATACGAAAGCCCTCAGAGACAAACGCATATCGCATGCTCTAAGCATGCTTACATACCAGTATTACTCTATCCAAGAATGGAGAAGGTGATATAGCCACTATACAGTGCCAAGCAAAATGCCTGGGACATCGACCACGCTTCCAATCTTGCAATTGCAAGAGAACAAAAATCGTCTAGACAAATAAAGACACAAAATGATGAGATGCTCATTCTGGCTCTGACCAGCTCCGAAATCGGGGAATCGAAGAAATGCTAGAGGCCTCAATAGTAGTAATTGACTATTGCTACAAAACTCTTCGTCGAGAAAGATATGATGGCTTCTCGAATTCATAAACTATTAATGACTCCATCCATGGCTTGCTGGACCTAGAAATGGTTGCCTCAACAAAACGCGTGGGTATCGTGAGCCACTTCCAGCTCACAGTCAGTATATATACACTGATAGTATCGAATCCTCCACGGTACCTTGTTACGCAAAGCAGTGAATGCTATCCACGCCGGGTTCGAGATTATTTGAGCACTTGAGAACAAATGCGGGACAAGAAAAGATACTATCGACTCATGTGGGCTTTCTCCAACAAACGTTACCCTCCCATCGCCTGTTTTGAAAACTATAGATTGAACAATACTTTATTATCATTGGGAGAAGGAGTGTATTTGTCAAAGTCAGGGGACATTTTCACCTCCGCAGAGACTCAAGATACTGGCAGAATTCTGACTGCTTGGTGCAACTGCGAGAAATCAACTCGTGTACAATCCCAACGGAAGAAGGGAAGAGAAAAACGTCGGATTCTGGATTTCCCAAGCAGCACAGAAAGAGGGATTACAAATGAGTGATAATGATGGAGTCGTCCTTCTTCATCCCTCCATATCAAGCGAGAGACGCAGCAGATAAGCTAACGTGCGCACGTGAAGGGAGACATGTCCTTGCTTCTGCTGTCTGACAATCTATCCGTTCGTGCACTATATGTCCTCAAGCCTCTAGCATAACGGGAGCTTCCGTAGTGGTTTGAGTAGCGCCACATCGTGGAAAAATCTCAGAAACTGGCTGCCTGGAATGGAAGCCATATATATATCCTGAAAGGGGACAGAATTACGTGACGTTTGGAAGAGGATAGGGCAAGTATACAGGTCGATAGAGGCAAGAAAGCTACAAGCAGTCTGTCTATGGCTTTGAAGGAGGACCCAATGATGGAAGATACAGCCTACAATCCTAGCGACAGCTGCATACGACAACGAGCATAAGAGGAAGTGGTATCTCCTACCCCTTGCCTAACCTCGCACGATCGAGATACCACTTTAGCAAGCTAATGTACGAATTTGGGGAATATTGAGGGTTCAAAGCTCCTCTTCAGTCTCATTGTCGTGACCGTCACTATTACTACTCCGCGGAAACCTCAGCGAGCCCTCAGGATCTCAATTATATAGGCGAGCAGGATATCATTGATATTGGGTGTATGCACTGACAGTTCTACTGAGAACCTGGGAGTCTCTACTCTTCAACAACTGGACCTTGATAAGGTCATCATATAAACCTCTGTACTTTCTCCATACCTATCGGTGGAACCACAGCCAAGGAATACAGGTCATATCGATACGGAGACAGTTGTGAGCCCTAGCCATGGGCTTCCGGGTCGTGGCACTAGACGAGTGTAAAAATAACAGATAAGAGATGGGCAGAAATGTGTCCCATCATAGGATCGGAGAAAGCAGTCAACCTTCGGCGGCCGCTACGTGAAACAGCTACTGTGCTGTCGAGTGAGTCGCGCGGTGTAACCAAAATAAGATGAATTCGCTTAAGAAAGCCCTACATCAGATTGTGGGGTATTCCTCCACTCGTGCGTTCGCCGTGGCTGAAATGGAGAGGCTAATCTGCAGAGAATCAGGCAATGAGAAATTGATGTTCGCAAAATGGGATTCCGACGAGGCAAATCTATCGGGATAGAAACATGACGAGAACTGAATTGAGACGAGACAATGCTAAGAAAAGTGGAACCCGATGAGGCCATGCCACGAAAATAAAATGAAATTCAGGCATGGTAACCATAGAATGGAAATCCTGACTCTCGGAATTCATTGATTCGATCACTTACGCGGGCTAATTACACGGTGTTAGCTGCACCAGGCGTGATCAGCACCACGATCAACTGCCTCTTATGTTCTCATACTAGTTACTGATTTGATATAGCATCCAACTGGATGCCAATCAGCAGTGTATCCAGCATTCTCACATCAGAAAGATTGTAAGCAGAATGAACACATGATGTGGTGGATGCAATTCTGACCTTACATTACCCAACTGTGGATCGAATGCGATCTAATAGACCCAAGAAATTCCTCGCTATACCCTGCTTTCTTCTATAATGAGGACCTTAAAAAAAAAAAGCAATCTCAGCGAGCGCCTCCGTGAACGTCGCTTGATGCAAGTATTGTGATTTATGTTGGACCATGCTATTGCAATCATTGGTGACTCGTCACTTTATATAGCAGACTGCCAGATCAAAAACTGATACTGTCGAGAAACAGCGACTACTTTACACGCGAGCTATCATCGACCATTATACTCTTCACCGAGAGGGACCCTCAAAATGTTGCTCCGTGGCTGTTTTGCAAAGCCGTAAGCCCAAGCCCCAGTCCATATCGTGTCTACCGGCATGATCAGTGACATAGACTGCTCTTGGTGGCACAAACCACGCGGGGATTGTGGCAGCTTGTCCTAACCTCCGTTGGACCAAGTTTGCTAAAACTGGATACGGTCAGGTTTATTTCATGAGTACTAACATCGTCCCTTCAGCCGTTGGGTATACGCCTATTGTCAGACTTTTGACAAGGAATCAACATGCAAAACGCCCAGCATGTGTGCATCCGGGGTGAAAAAAATTAAAAAAAAAAAAAAAAAAGCCCCCGAGTTTATGATTAACTTTTGTGGAGGAAGTTGGACCTTTGATGGACTTATGGACTCACAGACTACATATTCTGATGCGGAGACGCCGAAAACGAGTCGAGGTGGTTTGGTGATCCTCGAAGCTCAAGTGTATTCGAGGACGTTGGACTAGCTCAAGTCGTAGCTTATATAGGTGAGTCTAAGGAATAAGAATACGTTTCACGTTATCATTTTTTGACCTGATTAGGCATTATACACAAGGCAGGTATCGAGGGGGAAAAAAAAAAAATAAAGATTAAATAAGGACTTTGGTATTTCTAGAGGCAGGTATCGACTTTCTTGTCCTTTGTGAGTCACAAGACTTGATATAATAGCATCTGCATCAAGGCGAACACGGCTGGGCTTCACACTACCCTTATGGCGGATACGAGATCGCTTTTAGGCTTCTGGGCTCGTTGATTTGTCGACAACCCTATTTTCCCGCTTTTTCGGACTGTCTGTGAGGCTGCCTGAAGCATGCGGAATTATTTCTGGCCCGGGTGATACTTTGGACGAGCTCAATGGTGACATGGATAAATAGGGAAATTAGCAGAACGGTGCTTAGTCTATGATGTTGGACTCTTCAGCACCTTTAAGATGCAATATAATATTGTAACGAATTATATGTCACATCTAGAGTGTATTTACCGATAAGATATCAGCCAAAGACCAGAATCGAGAATATGCGACCGTGACAGGTGTGTAACCATGGGTCCTCGTTCTAGGGAGCAATAATGAATGACCTATGTTCCTTCTCCCCTCCAAAGCTAAACCTAATTTAGCTATTAGACACAAGAGTAATATATGCGCTTCCCTACTCAAAACTACAAAGCAGCACTTGCTTCAAGTATCTGAAGTTCAACTGAGCCCATCCCCAATATCTCCATATCCTGTGGGTCACTTGTAGATAGTAGTCAAGACATATGATTGGACACATCACGTGGTGATCTACATTTTTAGAGCCGTCGTCCTGCAACACTGTGCATTAGTGCATTGTTCAGAGCCATCCAGTCGGCCCATGCATTAGTGGCATGTTTTAGAGCCATCGTCCTGCAACATTGTGCATTAGCGCCATATTTAGAGCGACTGCCCTGCGACTGTGTGCATTAATGTCTGTATTAGAGCAATCGCATTGCAACACCGTGCATGAGTTCCAGTTTTAGAACCATTCTGATTTCTATATGCAGTCTACATGAGTTCCAGTTCTAGAACCATTCTATATGCAGACTTGTGTATGAGTGCAGCTTTTAGAGCCATCAACCTGCAACACCGTGCATTAGTTCCATATTTTAGAGCCATCAACCTGCAACACCGTGCATTAGCTCTATATTTAGAGCGACTGCTTTGCGACACCGTGCATTAGTTTCATATTTTAGAGCCATCAACCTGCAACACCGTGCATTAGTTCCATATTTTAGAGCCATCAACCTGCGACACCGTGCATTAGTTCCATATTTTAGAGCCATCAACCTGCAACACCGTGCATTAGCGCATTCTCCAACATGGTCTGTGCTGAGGCTGACATGCATGTTTGTGCTACCCTATACGTAGTGTAATTGGCTACTAGACCTATCTTGCTCCATATCTCCATGCACAGTCCTGCATAAATATTGCTTCTTGAGTAACCACAATATGGCCTAGTATGCAGTGTCCGTGTGTGAAGTGGTTTGGATGTGATTGGTCTATCTGGTCAAGCCACCTGCACGGGCTTGCATGATTACTATGGCGTTGTTCTCCTGTAGCCGGTGGTCTGTGCGTAGGTAAGGATCCCATTTCTCCGTACTCCGTAGTGGGCTTGAAATAAGATAATTTGAGAGGTTATATTTCGTGCTATATAGTTTGAGTCCAATAATTATCAAGTACATACGACCATAGGGTGTGGAAAACAGGGCTTCCCGTCCGCTCAGCCGTACTTAAGCCACACGCCGGGAGGTTAGTAGTTGGGTGGGTGACCACCAGCGAATCCCTTCTGTTGTATGTATTTTGCTTTTTATTCTTCTTTCTTTTTTTACATAAAGAACGAAGACAATCAACCTTTTTATGTCATTGCGGAATTATGTGCGCCTTTGTTGTGGGAGGGGTAGTGATGGGGCAAATAAAAACGCTGTACCCTGGAACACTATATGTAGGGTAAGCCCTGATGTCAAGTAGTATAATCATCATTTCCATCGATCCTCTCAAGTTCTTGCTTCCTGATTTTGTATAGATCGTCACGGCATGAATATACACATATATATACGTAGAGTGTATTCTGCCAGTGATCTTATATCTGTTAACCAAACTGATAAAACACAATGAGTTGCATCATCCACTGACGAGCCACTTAGAGATAGTATATACCCGAGATCCATATAGACAAAATCATCACAACATGAAACAAACAAAAGCAACTCAACCAAATAGTAGAACCAACAGCGTCACCATCGCAGATTAACCAGACCCACTCAATCAATGGCACTAAACCACTACAGACACCCTCCCCCTAACCCCACCAACATCCTTCGTCTTAAACCTCGCCAACAGCCCTGCCAACGTATCTCGTCTCTCATTCATGCTCGCCAACTTCCCCCTCTGATTCTTTCCACTGACAGTCCGCGGGATCCTCTCAACGAAGAACACGCCCCCATCCAACGCCTTATACGCCGCCAACCGCTGACGTGCAAAATCATACACCTCATCGGAACTAACTCTAGCACCGGGGGCTCTAGCTCGGACGACATACGCGCGGGGAGCCTCCGAACTTCCATCCGATAGACAGGTGCCGATGACTGCGACGTCCGCAATCAGCGGGTGTTGGAGCAGCACGGCTTCAATTTCGGCAGGACAGACTTGGTATCTGGTTTCATGAGTGTGTGCGTCAGTCAATGGAATAGAATGTCAATAGGGAAAGGAAGGGAATGAACGTACCCCCGCACTTTAATCAACTCCTTTGTCCTGCCCACGATAAAATACTCCCCATTCTTGATGTAGGCCACATCGCCCATATCGAACCACCCTTCAGCGTCAACCATGGACTCATTACGTCCCAAGTATCCCGTGAATAGACCAGGCCCTCTCACATACAGCCATCATCCTTGACCACTTCAGCACCAGACACAAGTCTTGCCTCCCCCCCCCGCAGTGATAGGTCCAATACTTCCCAAATCACCTTGTCCTGATCTGCCATTGGCAGGGTAGCGTTATTGGAAGACCACCCCACACTCTGTCATACCCCAGACTTGTCCGGCACAGGCATCCGGATGCAACAAGTCCTGGAAGGCAGACATAGAGGCACGATCGATAGGGGCACCAGCAACGCCGATGTATCGGAGGGAGGAGAGGCGGGTTTTGACATCCTGAGTGGGAGGTGCTTGGTTAAGCATGTGCACCATGGCAGGGACGAGGTAGGTTTCGGTGATTTGGTACTGGTGGACAGTGGACAGGAAGAGAGGGAACTGGAAGTCACGCAGGAGGTAGAGAGGTTCGCCGTAGCGAATGGGGAAGAGGTGTGTCCAGAGGGAGCTGAAGAGGTGGAAGATTGGAAGGAAGCCAAGAAGGGGGTGGATGGGATGCTGACGATTGATGCGTGTGCTCGATAGATGTGGGACGGCCCAGTACCTTTGGCTATGGTCCCATGGATATGTGGGAATATCAACAAGATAGTTCAACTTCATAGACGGCGAAAAGAGCCGGATGTATGATAAAACATCCAGAGTTTCGGCTCTTAGGTTCGCCCAGAAAGAGCCCACCGCGAGTGCCAAGGATTTGATACCACCAAACTTGCGATTAGCCATCTCAAAGTAAGGAATATCGGCTTCGTCAGGTTTGATGGCTGACAAGATTTGCATGGTGGGTCCTTGAAGAGCAGCATGGGGTCCCACCTCTACAATGGCATCCAGTCCTGAGAGTTCTTTCATAGCAGCTGTCAATGCCTGAGAGAAAAGCACAGGGCGAAGCATATTATTACTCCAGTACTGAATGTCAAAATTATCCATAACTTGGCCCTCGAAAACACTCGAAAACCACTTCGTGCCGGATACACTTTGGCGCGCCTGAATCTGGCACTGTTTCATGGACTGAACATATGGATCAGCACAAGGGATCATATGGCTAGAATGATAGGCCGTATCAACACGCAAACGCCGTGCAGAATAGCCGAGGCTCTCTATGATCCACTCCAACTCAGTGATCAGGTCACTGTCGCCTGAGAATGTGACACTGGTAGGAGAATTGAAGGCTGCCACGACAACGGTACCTGAATGGGCTGTTTCGCTACACATGGCGTCCACCTAATCCCAAGGCACACTAACTGCTAGCATAGCACCAGACTTTCCCTGAGAGCCAGCATGCTGTGCTGCCATTCCTCGCAAATAGGCGATCCGAATAGCGTCTCTTAGGGTCAGCCGACGTGCCGCATAAGCTGCACCGATCTCACCGGATGAGTGCCCAACAACTGCCGCCAATTCTATTCCAAGTGACCACAGGATGTTGACTTTAATAATTTGCAGTGCAGTACGCACTGGTAGTGACACTGCCGCCGAGTTGAGTCGAGAGGTTGCATCGGGAGCGGACAGTTCATCTAAGAGAGTAAAAGTCGGTTTGTACTCTACCGGAAGAGTATCCAGGGCCTGCTGCAGCTCCTTCATCCAACCCTGAGCTAGTGAGCATTGGGAGATAACATCTAAGCCCATTTGTGGCCATTGTGCGCCTTGACCCGTAAAAACACCTAATATTTTCTTTGACCCGGGAGTGAGTCGTCGTGTGATGGTCGCGGACATATCAGCGGAGCGTCGTTGCACCTCACTGTTCAGGGCCTCGCGAAGGCTTTCAATCGTGCCTGCAGTGAAGAATAGGCGATGGCTCAAGGTCGATCGCTTCTTGAGGAGAGAAGCGGCTAGCTCCAGCAGGTTCACTGCAGGGTGCTCCTCCAAATACTTGACGCAGTTTCGTAGGACGGCAGTGAGTGAGGCTTCAGATGCAGCTGAAAACACAAATGGAAGTATTTCTGATGTTACATGCTCGCAATTTGTTGAGGATGATGGAGCTCCTTCAAAGCTTCCCAGAATGACGTGCGCGTTGGCACCTCCAAATCCAAATGAGTTGACGGACACCCGCCGCGGAGACCCGGATGGAAGGTCTGGCCAGGAAAGTGCTTGGGTTGGGACTCGAAGATGAGAAGTGTACGGGGCCACTAGAGGACTGAGTTCGTTGAAAAGCAGGTTAGGCGGTATAATACCATGTTGGATGGCCAGTGATGCTTTGAGAACCCCTGCAACCCCTGCTGTGCCTTCTGCATGGCCTGCAACACTCTTAATGGAGCCCACGTACAAGTTGTCATCGGCAGGGGAGCTATCGTCGAAGAAAACAGAAGAAATTCCAAATGCCTCTTGCGGATCACCCGCAAGTGTTCCTGTCCCATGGGCTTCGAAAAATTGGCAGCGGTCTTCCCGGCGAAGGGGGTTCAGACCAGCGCGTGCATATGTTGAGCGAATGAGATCCCGCTGTGCCTCGCCGTTCGGCAGGGTTAGTGCCTCAGTACGACGGTCAGGATTTATACCAGTAGAGCGAATGACACATTCATTCGGGTCACCGTCAGCAACTGCGTCCTGCAGGCGCTTCAGCACGAGCGAGGCCACCCCTTCACCTCGGGCATAGCCATCCGCATGAGCATCCCACATACGACAGCGCCCTGTAGGCGACAGCATCTGCATCTGGGACTCCCCAATAAATGGATCTGGAGAAAGAATTAGGTTGCTACCCACGACAACCGCCAGCGAGCAGTCACCATTGTGTAAAGCCTCAGCCGCCAGGTGCAGTGCTACTAAGCTTGAGGAGCATGCCGTATCCAGGACAAATGAAGGTCCATGCCAATCAAAGAAGTAAGAGATTCGATTGGCAAGAATTGAGGGTGTTGTACCTATGAGTGAGAAAGGGCGCAGCATATTTGAATCCGCACCGGTAAGGAATTGGTAATAGTTGCTCATGGATCCACAATAAACTCCCGTGGATGAACCCTGCAGGTGTTGCAGTGGCAGCCCGGCCCTTTCGAGAGATTCGTATACGACTTCCATGAGCAATCGCTGTTGAGGGTCCATTGTTGCCGCCTCCGGAGGGGAGATCTTGAAAAAAGGGGCATCAAACGTCCGGATATCTTCCTGGAGAAAGTAGGCCTCAGGAGCAACTATCATGCCGGGCCTTGCCAGCTTGGTAGTAGGCATCTGCATTGAATCGGTCAAGAGGGGGCTTGGAAGCGACATCGCGCGGATTTTCCAGTAGTTCCCAGAGTCGAGAGGGAGAGGTGGCCGATCCTGGGAATCGGCAGCCTGTGCCGATGATAGCGATGGGCTCTGTTCGCGCCATTAGGAGTAACTGAAAGCTCATGATTCAGAAATATGAGGGATTTCTGTAAGAGAGTAATGAATTGCTTATAAAATCTTAAAAGTAGCTTGAAGCTTACGGGGGGCTTGTGGTATATAAGGGCATAGGCTGCGGTGATGACTTGCATCCCGAGAAGCTGACCCATGATCGATGAAGGTGGTGACAAATCTTTTGCGATACGAAAATACACACCAGCAGTACGTTCTCCATAGAATCTTCCTTCATCATGCACTTTACCTTCCCCGCTCTGCTTTTTCTTAAGCTCACCAGCGGGATTTGATACCGACCCCTTGGAGAGCCCCACCCGGGGGATATCTTTCTGTTATCCCGAAGGAGTTTGCAATAACTTCTCCGGGAAATGTAAATTTCCAGAAAAGACGCTGCCGTATGTAGCTTGATGTCAGTCAAATGCATTGTGATTAGAAGTGACGATAATGTCGATCGATATGTGCTAGGACCACCCGGGAGACGAACTCTCATCGGTAGATCGAGTGATCGACGGACGGTCAAGCTAAGACCTCGTCAGCAGGGTAATCAGGCATTTTTTCGGTTCTACTTTTGTTTTTCGCCGAGGTTGTATAAGATAGGAACTGCTCCTCTGGCCATTGTATTTAATCACTTTTCTTCAATTGAAAGTCTGCCCACTGAACAGTATACCGGAGGAGCAAGACACTTCAAAAAACCCAAAATGCCGGGCTGGGAAGTCTACTCGGGCCTAACACTCGCCACTTACGATCTTCTCGTTCACTGGTTCAATGACAATTATGTATGGCGATGTCCCTTGCCAGTTCTTAGTGCCTTTTTTGCAGCAAATGCCGGACCTCGCCATATGGACATTGGTGTCGGTACTGGGCTCTTCCCTGCAAAACATCGCGACCAGATGCGGCAGAGACACCAAGAGTGGCCTCAGAAATTGGCTCTGGTCGACATGAACCCTTCCTGCCTGCAGAAGGCTGCCGCGCGCATCGACTGTCCGAGCAAGACCGAATGTGTACGGGCTAGTGTTTTCGAGCCAATCACCATTCCAGCCGGGCAAGGACCCCTTGGTGCATCACCCAAATTTGACTCCATATCTATGATGTACCTGCTGCATTGTCTACCTCCGCCAACCGATCAAAAGGCGACTGTGTTTGCGCACTTAAAACACCACTTGACTCCGGAAGGGACTCTGTTTGGTGCCACGATCTTAGGTTATGGCGCACAGCATAATCTGCTAGGGCGTCTGACCATGCGCCTCTACAACTGGAAAGGCATATTTGGAAATACGGATGACAGCCCGGAGGTATTTGTCAAGGCATTGGAAAATGAATTCGAGGAGGTCGAGACCCATATTGTAGGAGTGGTGCTACTCTTTCGGGCTCGCAGACCCCGGTTGGCTTGAATAACTTGGTTGTAGGGCTCTGAAGTGTCTCATGTGCTTTACATTGAGGGTCCTGACAATCAAAATCTCGCAAGGGAGACCTGCATACTATTACACTTTGGTTTCTATTCGCTCAGGCCTGGATAGTGCATCAGGAATTCCGGGATGTATTGTTTTGTTTTTCATACGATTTTGTGTCCCTGAGGTTCCGATTAGCTCCCAATTTTCGTGCAACATTAGTAAACGAACATTAGCCGTCGTTCGAAGAAATCCAGTATATTCAGCTTGCTAAAATTTTATTTGCCAATAATTTCGAGCAAAAGGTCAATGATTAGACGCTGTATAAGCCCGAATCCTTCGGGCAGGCTCGCAGGGTCCCAGAAAGGAATGTAGTGAAAATCTGATTTGCCAATTTTGGATGGGGCCTGGACCTTGCGCTCGTGAGGAGACGGATAAAGCGGCTCGGGTCGCCGATCTTTCTCCAACTTGCCGATCCCTCTCGGTCTCGTATCTTCTGCAAGGTCGCAAGCTCAAATCCAACAAAGACCCGGGGCAATAGAGCAACCGGTTCGGAGTTATTATTCCCAACGCTGATGCCGACACGCAGGGCTAGTATGTGCCTCGATGCCGTCATAATGAGGGGGTGATAAGAAGGCAAGCCTTTTCTACCGGTATACTAGCACAAGCCAGCAAAATCCCTCTTTAGTCGACCGACATGGAAGAGAACCCGTGCCAAATCCAGCCAGGATCGGGAACAAACGGATGGTCCACTCCGTTGATACTTTTCCATGTGTTCCCGTATTTTCGCTTAGGCGAGCTGCACCGGCCGCTTTACGGCATCGGAAACACTCACTTCGACCACGGAGGCAAATGGGACCACGGTATTCGTCAGATGGGAGTTGTCTATTCACACTTACTTCGGTCGGGTCATCGGGTCCGGAGAAGTTATCCTGGGAGGTATGACGAAATGTTAGCGCTAACGCGGAAAGACTGGTACTAACAATGAATTGCTTTTTTGCACAAAGGATGGTCTCTGGGCGGCTGTGTTGCTTTAGAAGTTGCAGCTCGACTAATGAAACTTCCCCAGTACACGGTGCAGGGTGTTATCATGATCAACAGTGTCTTTCCGACTATCAAGGTCACAGACAAGTATCCCCGCACGATCGCTGATGTTGCTGCCAGCTTCCAGCTACCGGCCCGAATGTCCGATGCCCGGCGGGTACAAGCGCAGCAATGCATTCTGTACGCTCACGAGATGCAGCGTGACTGGCGACCGCCACAATTCTCGTCAGGTCTGCCACCTGCAATACTCATACGCGCAGCCGATCCGGTACATTTTGACCCCGAAGTGAAACCCCACTACATCGATCTCATCCGGGACTGGACGTACCTGGGATGAAAGGAGTACGATACGAGCTTCATCAAAGCTTACTTGGACATCCCAGGCAACCATTTTACTATATTCGATGACCAAAATGTATGATTCCCTTTGGCATTTGTCATGGCCTTGCTGATAATGCTGCAGTGTTACCAAACAACAGCCAGAATCCGGGAAGCTTGCGCAATGTTGACTGGACCGCAACAGCCAAATCCCGAATGATCGACAGTGCTTCTGCATGCAGGGATTCACCGATAGCATGAGCCCATCGAGATCGAGTCGAACTGCATATTGCATCTTGCTAGGTGATTTTCTGGGTATGAACCGTATCTGTGACACCGAGTGCTGTTGGAATTTTTGGCTTTGTGGATAGCAGTACGGGCAGTGGAGCTAAACCGGGCCGGCCTGAGAACACGAGCCGGTTTGATCTCTTATTCTGAGACACGCTTCTGCGTAGTGATAGTCTATTGATGCACCAATCCATTTGAATATTATCACAGCAAAGTGCATTCTCCCTCAGCTGGTGGCGACTGCACAGGTCATGCGGTACTTAATTAGTAGCTGCCGAGAGTTTCTCGCCGAAACGAGCACCTTGCGCTTGCCGTCAGATGCCGATAACGATCGCAAGGGATAGAAGAAGGTATATATATAGAATTTTCAGGGAGGAAGCCCGAGCCACAGTGGAGATTAAAGATCCAGAGTCGTCAAACACATCAATATACCCACCATGCTTGATAAACACATACCTGATGGTCACTTAGAGACAACAAGTGCCCACTGGAGAGACCTGAATCAACTTGTTCAGAAAGGAGAACTCAGTATCGACGGCTATAGTCTTAGTCTTTCTGATGTTGTCGCGGTAGCAAAGTCAGCCAACATCCCACTCATATAGAATCTATTTACACAAATGAGCCTAACAGCTGGGATAGGTACGGCTGCCGGCCTCGACTTGTCGAAAAGCCTGAGACGATCGATGCTATAAATGGGAGTGTTATAGCACTAGCCGAATGCCTTCGGGATGGGCATCATATTTATGGTTGGTCGAGCCTTCATAACAAATTTTAGATCCTATTAGAATTGACCAACGATCTATCAGGTGTCAATACTGGATTTGGGGGGAGTGCTGACTCACGGACGAACCAGACGACCACTTTGCAGAGCTCTCTCCTTCAGCTACTCCAAAGCGGTATTCTTACCACATCTGATACTACCAATGAAGGCCTACAACCCAGATTACAAGAGCAAAGCTCCCATTCCATGCCTTCCGAATGGGTCAAGGCGACTATGCTTGTGAGAAGCAATTCAGTTGCCCGCGGCCATTCGGCCGTGTCACTGCCCGCAATTAGTGCAATCTTGCGGTTGATTCGTGATGATGTCATCCCTGTAATTCCTCTTCGGGGAACTATTTCCGCATCAGGGGATCTCATGCCCCTCGCATACGTTGTCGGGGCGATTGAAGGGAGTCCCGGGATCTATGTGCGTGTCAAGGACGGGTCGGAGCATCATGTTGTCACGGCTCAGAAGGCACTGCAGATAATTGGTGCTAAGGGTGTCACACTGGGACCCAAAGAGGGCCTTGGTTTGGTTAACGGCACAGCCGCTTCGGGTGCTCTTGCCGGCTTAGTGCTCTATGAGGCGCACCAGCTGGCCGTACTTGCGCAGGCAGTTACTGCCCTTACAGTTGAGGCCATACAAGGGAGCACAGAAAGTTTTCATCCTTTTATCGCTCGGGTGCGTCCGCATCAAGGCCAAATTGAAGCTGCGGAAAACATTTTGTCCCTGCTGAAAGGCTCTCTACTTGCCAGGGGAAGTAGTACCGCCCAAACTAGGACGGGACTTGTCCAGGATCGTTATTCCCTCCGAACAGCCAGTCAATGGATTGGACCCCAACTGGAGGATCTCCTTCTCGCGGATCGGCAAGTTCAGGTTGAACTCAATTCAACGTCGGATAACCCGCTTATTGATACGGGCTCGAAGACCTTCTACACGGGAGGTAACTTCCAAGCAACCTCGATTACTTCAGCAATGGAGAAGACCCGACTTGCGTTGCAAATGTTCGGGAAAATGTTGTTTGTTCAGTGCAACGAGATGATCGACCCCAACCTGAACAATGGTCTGCCCACCAATCTAGTCGCTGACGACCCCAGCCTATCCTTCACTATGAAGGGGGTAGATATCAACATGGCGGCCTACATGTCTGAGTTAGCGTATCTCGCAAACCCAGTTAGCTCCCACGTTCAGACCGCAGAGATGCAGAACCAAGCTCTCAACTCACTGGCATTTGTTTCAGCACGATATACCATGAAGGCGGTTGATATTGTGTCAATGATGGGCGCGTGTGCACTATACGTCGCTTGCCAAGCCCTCGACCTACGTGTCCTGCAACTCCGCTTTTTTGAGAGGCTTCAGGGTGCTGCTAGAGATATCGCAAACGAAGCTTTTGGGAAGGTGCTTGAGCCACATGAAATAGACAAGGTAGCGGATCATCTTTCCGAAGCGTTCCAAAATTCTTGGCCATCGACTTCACGTCTCGACCTAACCGATCGCTGCAAGCGCGTGGGCGAGATGTTCGTCCCCGTGCTTTTTGAGGCTCTTTTGGAGATTGTCCCACTAAATCGGCAGAATTCCGATCTATTTACAGCAATTTATGCATGCAAGATGATGAGTGTCCTCAAGCTTGAAGCTGTTTATCGAGAGGTGTTCGCCGAATTTTGCACTCTGCAACCAACAGCCGACTTCCTCGGAATAGGGACAAAGGAGATCTATACGGCCATTCGACATGACCTTCAAATCCCCTTCCACCAGGGGTTCGTTGAACACCCCTCGGCGAGCCAAAATGATTTGCCAGAGACGATCAATGGTAGAGCCAAGAAGACTGTTGGGGGGTGGATATCAATTGTATATGAAGCTTTGCGAAACGGTACACTGAGTGGCACACTTCTAAATTCATTTCAGCAATAGACACCGGACAATATTGGCATAATGGAAGCGGGTATAGCCCTTTCAACAAGGTCAAGGGATGACACCAGCCTTTGATCCTACTCGAGGGTTACCAGCATCCTGGACACTTGATACAGCAAGACTCATAGATCATATTCGTCGCTTAAGAGCCTTAGATAGCCAGCACAGGTACTTGAGAGAATGATAATGGCTGTAGTGATTATATTGATATTCAAATTTGTAGGAGTGTAGTTGTCAAAAGTCAAGACTCCATTAACCGGGAATGGATGGAGATGGTCGTGTGGTCAAACGCGTACCACTTGCTTTTTTTTTTGGCGTTTTCTTAAGAACCGCTACCGGGTTTCCGATTTGCCCATATCCCACAGTCACCGCATTAGATAGAGAAGACTGCTCTGGTTGCGATTGAGTATATAATGTAAAGGTACATCCAGGATGTAGACATTTGACTTCAGCGAATCCTTCCCAATGTATTCACAGTACTATCATTCAAACCTGTTCCCCTCATCTAGACGGCCCTCACAATGACGGTCAAGAGGTGAAAGCTTCGCGTTTTTCCCAATTTTCGATGAACTGCTTCAGCAAGTTTGCGTCAAGAGCAACATACTTGATGTCCGGTCGGTCTTGCAAGGCGCGTATCGTGTTCGTCGGATCATACACAGGAGTATTTTTGCTTGTCTGCAGCCGGCTTAAACCCTCATAAACAGGCTCGTCAAGCAGGGGCATCATGGATTCCAATACATTTCCTGGAGAATCACGTATTCTCTCCACCCACTCCCTATAGTCGACCATCTTCACGGGGTAACCGATATCGCGCAGCATGGTATACTTCTGATCGTGACCGATCGACAGAGACCTATCTGGTGGCACAATATGATACGAGCGACCGAGATTGTCCCGACTGGATGCAATATGCAGAATAGCCTCCGCAACATAGTCGACTGTCACATAATCCAAAAACTGGTCGGGAAGATGGGGAAAGCAACCGCACTGAATGCTGCCCATAATCAACCGGGAGAAATAGTCTTTCTCGTTGGCAAGGGCGCTTTTACTGTGGCCGATGACAAATCCGGGTCTGTATATTGCGGTTGGCAGACCGCTAGCACGCGCTCGGCGAACGATCTGTTCGGCGACAAATTGGCTCGCCGCGTATCCGGTATCATAAGGGAGGGCATTGAGGTGTGGGTCCAGCGACTCATCCTCGTACACGCGGTCCACCTTGTTGATGTATCCAGTCACAGTCCAGACGTCAATCGACGAGACGTAATGAAGAGATTTGCGACGACCTAGCATTGCGGCCCGAATAACGTTCCGTGTACCTAGAACATTAGGCACATGGTGCGCCTCGTAAGGCTGGCACCAGTTGACCCGTGCACCGACGTGGAAGACAACGCTTGCCCAATTTATGAGCCATCTGAATTGTTTCTCCCCAAGCCCGAGAGTCGAATCTCCCATATCGCCGTGCAGGACCATGATCTTCTGGGTTGTTTCCCGTCGATCGTCCCAGAGATTGTACTTCTCAAGCGTTTTCTTGACTCGAGTGCTGGCATCGACGGCATCCTTGCCGCGGGCAAGGCAAGCAATCTTGTGTACCGATGGCATGGATAGGAGCCCATGAAGTATATGTGCACCAAGGAATCCCGTAGCACCGGTGAGAAACACGCGACCTTCGCCCTTGGAATGCCAATCAGGGGGGAGGAGGTCAGACCCTAAGTCTTTGGAATCCTCCACGCAACGCTCTAGGCTGAATTGCGCGCTATTGCTATTTGAGCTATTCATGCATTTTGCAAGTTGTTCCATTGTTGGATTTTGATGGAGCTGAGCCAGAGTGATGCTTTCTTTATAGTCCCGTTTGATCATACCGACGAGGCGAGCTGCTTGAAGAGAGGTCAGTCCTCGGGAGAAAAAGTCGTCATTCATACTGATCTCCGATTTGGGGAGAAATCCCTGAAGTATCGACAAAAGCCATTGAGCTATGTCCTCCTTTCCCTCACGATCATTCGTTCTTGTGGTCTTGGTTATATTGTTTTTGGGATGGCCTCCCTCCTTTCGGTGGTGTGGTTGCTCTGTATCACTGTGCGGTTGAAGCGCCTTCTTATCAACCTTTCCATTCTGGGATAAAGGTAGCCTTCGCTTCATGTATATCGTGCTCGGCACCATATATTGGGGCAAACTCTCTTTCACCCATTCAATCAACTCGTCAGAAGTGACTTGATTATCCCAGTTGGATGGAACCACGTAAGCTTCAATATACCCCGAGCTGCTTTCTTCAGGGATATATTTGGCAACGCACGCGTGAACCTTTGGATGTTTCTCAACACAGCATGATATATCCCCTAGCTCCACTCGGTACCCCGAAATCTTGACTTGGTCATCAGATCGGCCGATAAACTCAAGGACCCCACTCTTGTCTCTCCACTGAGCAAGGTCGCCGGTTCGGTAGACTCGGATAGGTCTATCTGACGATTCACCGGACATAGTTGCAGGAAGAGAGATAAAATGTTTTTCGTTTTCTGCATTCCGGTTAAGGTATCCTGGCGATAACTGAGGCCCCGCAATGCAGATTTCTCCAGTGTGCCCCGCCTCGATGATGGGACTGAGGTCTTCATCGAGGAGATGGATCTTCGTATCTCCAACAGGTCGTCCTATGCTCACGCGCGAGTGTCTCATCTCCTCTTTATCCAGTCGGCCTACCGTCGCAAATATAGTCGCTTCTGCAGGGCCGTAACCATTCCATAGATTCTCCGGAGGTGCGGCCTCAAGTATCTTACGCAGGGCACTGGCGCTGACCGCTTCGCCACCAATCACAACGTGGCGCAGTCCCCCAAAAGTGAAGGGTGCAGTTAACGCAATAACGTGGAACAGGGCCGTAGGCACAATCATGGTGGTGACTTTCTGTTCACGCAAGAAAGTCTGCAGCGATGGTGGATCGGCGCGTACAAGAGCGGGTACTTGAACGATAGTCGCGCCGGTGAGCAGTGTCAGCCACATCTCGCAGACAGACAGGTCGAATCCAGGGGTGATGAGGGCCGTCATCCGGTCTGAGGGTTGCAGCGGCCCGAAAGGGAAATTATTGAGAGCGTGGAGAATACTGCTGCTAAGAACCTGAATTGGCTTTGGTCGCCCGGTGGAGCCAGAAGTGAACATGATATGGCTGCGATGAGAATCTGTTCGATTTGTACGAACAGTAATTTCGTTCGGCGTGTCCAGGTCGACTTTGGCTTCGAGAACCGACTCGATGAGAGTGGGGCTCAGCTTCTGAACTTGATTGAAGTTGTCTTTATCGGTAATGATATACTTAGTGTTCAAGTCTTCCAGGATGGACTTGAGGCGATCCTCAGGCGCAGCTGGGTCGACGGGAACACAACTTCCTCCTGCGCGAAGAACTGCAACCTGGGCTACAACCTGGTGTAGTCCAGTGTTGGCCAAAATGCACACCGGTGTGTCAGGCTCAAAAGACTGTTGGTATAGTAGATCAGCAACCATGTCGGCCCGGGCGATCAGTTCCCGGTAGCTGACGACGCGGTCACTATCCACAACTGCCACAGCATCGGGGGCCGTGTTAGCCTTTTGTACCAGGTTTGCTTCCATTGGTATACGTGAAGACTTCTAAGTTGCGGGTAAATGGGGCGAAAAGTTCTAATAACTATCAGCGATAGTTTTGAAACAGAAATACCGATATCAGATGAACAGACGGAGAGGGGATTGCTTTATACCCTACCAGACCAGATTAGTGCCGAAATATGAATTTCGGCTCATCTTCAAAGCCAGCATGCAACTCTCGTCTTATCAGGATTTTAGGCAGATTGACTTGTTTTTGTTAATGTTGATCGAGACAACCTCCAAAACAAGTCTGCAAATAAGAGGCAATGCTCTATGATCATTATTATGCAATGACTTGTCTTCTAAAACAAACCTACAACGTGGCCAAGTGATATTTTAGGGAATTACTAAATTCTCTTCGCGGGCTTTCGCTTTCAAGGGAGGTGGACGAATAATCCACACAATGTGCTATTATCATGATGGTATGATATTCCCAGGCTTTTTTTTTTGATACACAGTACTTCAAACCTTACTAGAATCCCATCAAATCACTAAACCTTATCTGCAGATCCTTGCTTATTCAGTAGATTAAAAAGTTAGATTCATACCTCAAACGAGAAGCTAAAGACTAGGGTCATAACTATATAACGAGGATTGAAGTTCACATAGACAGGTCTTTAAATCCAAGGGTTGCTGATCTTCCCTACATCACACGATTTCATTCGCAGGTCCTTATGCCGACGAGAGATGATTTGCACTGATTCAATTTGGCATATTGGATCCCGAGGAAAGGCTTCGGGTGGCAATAACATGGACTACATCATTCACCATGTTCACTTTATGATCTCCAGCGCTTGGACCCTCGTAGGGACAATGAGATGATTTCGTGGGGTGTGAAGGCGTAGCAAAATACTTCGGGGAGTATGACAGGATTCTTAACTTCACCACTGCCGTGGGACGCTTAACTCTGCCAACCCACACTAATCATGTTGCAAGATATGTCTATCTGTCTCCAGTTTTTGAAAAGCCTCACTCATATCATCAATCTGACCCGAAAGCGATAGTACCTCTGACATATGCGGAAAGACTGTTCCAATGGATACCACTGATGATCTTTTGCACTCCGTCAGAGTGCATTGAGGGAAAATGTCCTGTTGTTCTCTTTCCTCCAGACTTGTCGACACCAACTTTATTGTCTGCAAAACTTTGGCGCAATCGCGAAAGGAACGTTGGAGTTGAATCTTGTCAACCCAGTTGGACAACGCAGAATGATTTTACCTGTACCTATATACTGAACAACTCTATGTCCCTACTCTGCAAGGATGCGATAGTGACCGTGATATATTCGCCATAGGTGGACCAATACAGCCCACTAAGGATCTGCCAAGTATGAAAATGAGCTACTATCCTTAGTTTCAATAGTACTAACTACACTCCTCCCTGTGAGTCGCTCATACTATTCAATATTGGCGGAGGTTGTAAAGGTATACCGTTCAACTATGAATGGAAATCGCATATCGCGGAGGCAAGTCTACCTATATCCTTGCTATGTGCTCCGAACCAACGGGGCATATACAGCCCGGTACAGCATCTGTTTTGGATCCAAATGAACTACTACTTAATCCAGTTATCAACAGTCCCATGGGAGTCTTCCTTCCGTACAACCAGCCGGAATTGCCGAATATCCCAAGCTCCCACGGATGAGGCAGATCGCCACTTGGGCTGATATATTTCCCGCAAACTAATGATCTACATTGCTTTTTCCCACCCACGACTACAAGTCTCGAACTGATGGTCTTTGAGTTCACGATGATGTCGAGCGAAAGAAACACAGTACATTATCAAGCAGACGTGGCAGGAGGTTTTAGTTTCTCGCAATGTTATGCAGTCGGACCACATTAATTACTCTGGTTATCCGATACAAGCATGATACTGCACTTCGGGTTACTTTATGGCTGGGGCGGACGGGAATATATCTTATAGTCACCTTTCCTGGGAGCTGCAGCCACATCGGCCATGGTTTCACAGGATGCCGGATGCAGGCCTGAGGCCACTAGGAACTTTCCGCGCAGATACTGTGTATGTGTCATCCGCATTTTGAACTAACCTGGAGATACAGAGTCGGAGCTTATACAAAGATGACAGTAAGCCATACATCGTCTTAATATGGTTTGAGTAATGGATAAATCAGAATATGCTGGCGGGGTTATTAACCTCGCGATGGGCGATCCTTATAGCCAAGCTTATAGAGAGGTAACTATAAAGTACTAAGAACATTGCTTTACCTGTTAACTATTACTGATCCTCGGTATTAGATACTTCTAGGTACTTTCTAGCCTGCGGCAGGCGGACATGATTCCCGCCACTAGGCACTAGCAGCTGATGCCCCGCTGTTTCCCAAACCAGATAAAGGAGGGGTCAGTTGCCAGTTAGCCCAACACGTGCAGGAGCTTCAGGAGCAACAAAGCTCGCCGGAATTTGTTCCTTTCTTTAAATTCTTAAGCTTTCAACTTTTGATTCATTTTTTCCAGTCCCATCAATCTCCACGTTGTTATTCCCTGTCACTTTCTCAGCAAAGCACTAATATACCCATTGAAAAAATGCCTCGAACTGCTATATTCGTTATCGACATTCAGAACCATATCGCCGTTGATCCTACCTCTCGCGTCCCCCAAGCGGATCGCGTCATCAAAGCCTCTGAAGCGATCTTACAGACGGCTCGTTCCATCAAAGACTCCAATGAAAAGAGCAACAGTCCACTCATCGTCTTCATTCAGCACGAAGAGTCCGCGAATGACGGAGCCCTTGTAAAGGGGACTGAGCCCTGGGGGCTCGTCTTTCACCCCCGCGCGGATGTGGAGGGCGAAATTTTGGTTGCAAAGAGGACAGGTACAGTACCAATTATGCTCGATGCCAATGGGCATAGCTTAACGCATCTTTACATTCTACAGGGGACACATTCAAATCCAACCGCGACCTCGCGCAGAGGCTGCGCGACGCCAACGTCACCGAAATCGTCGCGTTCGGTCTGCAGAGCGATAAATGCGTTGAAGCAACATGTACCGGAGCACTGGCAGCTGGCTTCCACGTAACTGTGTTGGCTGGCGCACATTCTACCTACGATGCTGATGGAAAGACCGCCCAAGAAATCGAGCGTGAAGTTGAACTTCGCCTCTCGACACGCGGCGCTCGCGTTGTCCGGTGGGAGAAATGGGTGGAAAAGCAACAGGTTGCCTGATTCGCACTCTTGTTGTTTTCGGTCTAGTTTATTTTTGTACATGTTATAATTGCCAGGAACTTTGTCTGAAATGCGGGCTTCATCGAGATACACCATAATTCACATTATCATCACCATTTCCTTTCCTGCATATCGAGCTCAGAGCAGAACACGTACGCCACAGGGGCAGCCAAGCTGAACAGGCCAAGTTGGAAGATCGGAGTATAGTTGCGCTTGGCGGGACTAAAACGAAGCATGTTGGAGGGGCAAGTAGGGTCTGGGCTCGGGATGCATGTCTGGGCGGGGAGACGCTATAGGCTCGCCCCACTTGTGCCCAGCTGATGTTCACCGATAGTCCAAAATAGTGTACACCTGCGATCAGCCGATCCATCGGCAAACGGACATCGCAGTACCCGACATGAGGTGGTCATGTCACCTGGTGGCTACGTAGAAGGACGAACAGGAAGATCAGGAAAATCGGGCAACGGTCATATCCTGAGGCATCTATTCCTCCACTGCTCAAAATTATCTCGAAACCACTAATCACTGAGTACAGAGCCTCCACTCTTTGGCTGCTATATAGCAGTGAAATACCTATTCTTTCAGGTCCCGGTGTACGCTAATGTTAGAACTAGATATGGTATTTCAAACATTATATGATTAGACATTAGTGTGCACTTCGAAGCCTGCGTGTTATCATTTTAGTGCATAAAACTGTAGCATACGTACAATGGTAGGCCGGGAAATGCACAGACCCGAAGAACCTCCAAATGAAAGTCGCATTCAAACTGCTGCAAACAATTGTATGGATAACCCAAAGTACTTGTTAACTTTGTCCGTAAACGCTTTGCAATCATCACAAGGAGCTTTATTGACCAATATGGCTGCTTTTGTTAATGTAGCCGGTAGCGGTGGTGCCTCAGCCATCCTGATCAGGTCTCGATGTCTCCATCGTCGCGTATCTAGTATCTCCAGTTTGCATTCTAGCTCCTGTAATGATCGCGCCCGAGGACTATCGATCACCCGGTTGAGTATCGCTTCAACGGCCCTGAGATTTGCCTCCAGTTCCTGAATCTCATCGTCTTTTCTGACAAGTTCTTCCGATTTATACAAGAGCTCGTACTTTAAGTCCTGCTTGGTTTTCCGGAGATGAGTCACTTCCCGTCCTATCTCGGTGCTTGAATAGAACCTTTCAATTTCATCTTCTGTCCTCTCATATTCTTCTCTTAGATTCGGATCCGGCAAGAGATCGCGTGGAAGGAAAGCATGGCGATCAATGAAATATGCTATCAGTTGCTTTTCTGCGTGGTAGACAATATCCTCATCATGGATATGGGAAGGAAAATGATGACCCACTGTTTTGGCAATGTAAAAGACATCATCTGCCCAATGGCGACCCTCAACACTGAGGGGTTGCCCAGGAACTGTTGTCACTCGGCTGATAGCAGCAACAGACGGAAATTTTCCGCCTCTTTCTAGTCGCGCCACTGTCTCTCCAACTCCTGATATTGGATGCTTCCCGATTGGCTTGGGCTCTTCCGTACTGGAAGATGTGCGACTATAGGACTGAGACAACGATACAGTGGGTGGTTCTCCAAAAGCGGTCTTTGACATTCGTCTCTCTGCGCTAAGAAGGCGAACAATTTCCCGGCGATCAAGGGCCGCTTTGGGACTGTCCTCGAAATAGTCATCAGTACGATCGTTTCTTTCCTCTTGAAGTTCGTCATGCTCCTGCGCAAAATAAACTGCCAGTCGATTTTTGACATCCCGGATATTGGTGTCCGCGCCGTGCTGTAGGAGTACTTTTACATTGTTAACCCGCCCAAAGAGCGCTGCCTCCATTAGAGCGCTCCTTCCGCCATTATCAACAGCATTCACATCCGCTCCATGTTCGATGAGAAGCGACAGCATCTCCGGGATACTCTCAGCTGCTGCGCGGATGAGGGTTGTTTTACCGTTGAAGGGGAACCGCCCTCGAACAAACAGCCGAGCCTCAGCAGATGTCTCCAAATATTCTTGAACCGCTCTAGTGTGTCCAGCAATACAGTCGCGAATTGACTGGGTAATCCTTTTCTGCTGGAATGGCTGGACGTCACATCCTAGGTCAAGGGGAAATCTCCTAGGTCGACGGTGACTAGTTCCTTTGCATCTTCCGGGATATTCATAGATATTTCTTCATCGTCTGCTGCGGCGGTAGTAGCCTTAGCTAGATCAGCTGCCAGCTGATCAATATCGCCATCATCATCGTCCTCAATATTGCTGTCATCCGAAATACAGATATTGACGTATCGACCACGTTCCTTGTTGATTTCATAGGCTACCTCACCTTTATCATTCATGGGGAAGCAGCAAAAATATGTCTCGCTTGTTTCGCAATGAGATTTTCTGAGATCGTTTGCCTGCCAATCCAACGAGTTGACCCGATGGCGATGAAGTGCTTCGCAAAACGGACATCGTACGTAGTAGCAGGTTGCGTTCCACCATATCACGTCAGCTTTAGGGAAACGTCTATCCATTGTGAGAATATGCTATTTTGTCGTAAACCGAGTCGACGAAGGTGTTTGGGGAGGCAGCCTGTTGGATCGCACGAGCAAGGATTGATTGGAGGGACCAAAGTCGTGGTTTGAGTGAAGATATGTCAATACACCTGTCGCAGATGTCACAGAGACCTTCTATGTCAAGGATGACTTGAAAGCATTTAAGCGGGGAAATAGCAATTTCTCCTGACTAGAAGATATAATACATCACCACTGCGTGATTGTGTAAGATACTATATTACCATACGGTACATAAAACCAGACAAAATAATCCTGGATAAGTTTGGATTCCTTCATCTGTCCACACATCGAAGTTGTGCGGAATCTCGTCCCTTCCAATAGTCAAATTGAGTCCTAGAAAGCATAGGGACTGTCTTCATCAATAACAAGAAGGCCACCTCCAACCACTTCGATGCTGCAATGAAGTTAGACGATGAGTTCAGTGCGGCTCTGTTATGTTCACTTTGCTAACCTTCTGATGCAACTCTTTAGAACCGCTGTTCAACCAAAGTTTCTGGAGTGACCCTTGAGGCAACCGAGCAATAACAAAAGGACAGCCCTTCGAAATCATGCATCATAGTTCGGGTTTCGTGTCTGGCATAAGCGGATGATATGTCCACAAAAGAATTCCGCAATGATGAGACGGAAGAAACGTATAACATGCGACATTGGGCCCGGAGACGGATGCCGGGACCTAGCCAACAACTGGGCATAAGCAAAATTCAACATAAGGACCTACTAATTGTCGGAGGTTTCTCGATGAAATCGATACGAGGAAAACCTTTTGATTGGCAGAGGCATTGCTTCATCGTCATGCTCTGACATGTTATCCAAGAATTGTTTACGATGTGGTAATTTGGTGCTGTCACAATGCAGCCAATCTCTCGCGGTGCTTTTCACCGGAGTTCGAGATGTATGCTTGTAGACTTCCCCCCTGCAAGATCCTCAATGATCTCAAGCAAGGCAAAGAAGATACAAAAAGGAGAGTAGAGTTACCCTGCTAGTGATCAGTCTTTCCTCAGTGTAGACAATAATGGCCGATAGTGGATTAGAATGCTCAGGGGTAAGCGACATGGTCCGGGTACATGCATATATGTCTATCAGAGGTTGCAAGGGATTAATTCTCTGGTGAAGAAGAGCTACACGTCACTTCCACTAAATACTGGTCTGGAACTTGTGACTTTGGGAGTGGAGTCTATACGTAAGACTGAATTGATGGGAGACGAGACCCGTGGGGAACCACCAGACTATGCAGCCAATTACGTGTCTCGAACCTGACACCTGTGACTGCAATTATCTCTCAACAAGATAGATACTGTGCGCAGACCAAGCACAGGACGTTGTTGAGGCCTTGGGAGCTCCTCTCCGGAAGACGTCTTATCCGGCCTGCGAATCACAACATCACAACAGTGACGGGGTCCAAGCCCAGCAACTTCCCCCGCCTTTTCCCCACAAACTCCCAATCTCCGCGTCTCCACAAAAACACGTTGGAAAAGCTGGGGATAGATCAAGCACGGTGGGTAGTCCGAACTCCCTAAATTACCATCTAAGTGACTTAGACACTGCTGGCATTTCATGTGTGCAGCCAGAGAAGGGTACCTCTCCAAGTAATGCGGAGTAGGACATCCCCCCGAAAATAAGGGTGCTATGACCTCGGTCCTTCATTTCGGCTGTGGGGAGCTTCACGAACATCACTGCTCTCTCCTTAATAGCTAGCTGTGAGCCAATAATTTAGCTTTTGCCGAAAGCTTCGCGTCACTTGAGAGCGGATGACGCGGGCGTGTTGCAGCATACGGCATGATGGTTGGTCAGCGTGCATTTTATCGTGCTTTGAACAGAGCTCCCGAAAAAGCTTGTTCGGCCGATTTTGCTTCCTACGTATACACCGGAGAATTACTCTAACAATGCTGGCCAGCACCGATGATATATTTTTCGTTCCTTCTCGCTGACGTGATGGATTATCACATGTGTCTGCCCTTTCAAAGCCATTCGTTGGATGTCAAACCCAGCAAACACCAGTACCAAGATCGCTGGACGAACATTTTCCTGTAAGAGATGATGGGGCGGTCGCAACCGATCAAAACCATAAGGGAATATTCCCTGCTCGGTCATGTACACCCTTTGTGGACATGTACTCCGGCAATCCCCCGCAGCAGTGTGGAAATGTGCGGGGATCGAGTCTGCCGGGAATCGGCACTCAGAGGACCGGTCGACTCACATAACCACAAGCGGTATCGTGAAGATGATCCCCATAATTTCCCCACAAACTCAATTAATTCAAGGGCACATCCGGATGACCGATGACGACGTTTTGTTTGCGACTCCCGTCGCCGGAAGACCGCTCGACTCATTAGGTGTCGGGATCTGCGATATAAAATAAGGGACGCATGTGTCCTTCTGTGGGTCAAGCAGACAGATCCAGTTCTCATTTTTCTTTTCATCTCTCGCCAGCAGATTCTGGCTACTGTTGACAGGATGCGCTCACCCGCTTGGGCTTCCATAGCCATCACAGCCCTTGCGGCATTGGCAAATGCTGGAACTCCTTCCACGTTGGCGGAGCTTTGCACTGATTCCATCGTGAAGGCAGCTCTACCACCTTCTGAATTCATCCAAGGCATAACAATTGACTCGGACTCTGTGACGACCGAAGTCGTAACGAACAGCAGTTTCTCCAGCGAATTTTACCCAAGCGCCACGATTGACTATTGCAACGTCACATTCGCCTACTCCCACGATGGCATTGACGGTGACCAAGTTATTTTGGAAATCTGGCTCCCCGCACCCACAGATTTCAAAAACCGCTGGCTCTCCACTGGCGGAGGTGGCTATGCCATCAACTCCGGAGACCAATCGTTGCCAGGTGGTGTCATGTATGGGGCCGCGTCAGGTATGACAGATGGCGGTTTTGGAGGATTCTCAAACAATGCGGACACGGCTATGCTGTTGGCGAATGGCACACTCGACTACGAGACGCTTTACATGTTTGCATACAAGGCGCATCGGGAGCTTAGCTTGCTTGGAAAGGCCCTGACCCGCAATGTTTACGGGATGAGCGACAGCGATAAGCTGTATGCGTATTATCAAGGCTGCTCTGAAGGAGGCCGCGAAGGTTGGAGTCAAGTGCAGCGATTCGGCGATGAATGGGATGGAGCCATCATTGGCGCTCCAGCAATCCGCTGGTCCTTCCAACAGACTCAACATCTCTATTCCAACATCGTCGAGAAGACACTGGATTACTACCCACCCCCCTGTGAGCTGGACAAGATCGTCAACGAGACCATCGCTGCCTGTGATGCCATGGACGGAAAGGTAGATTGGGTGGTTGCACGGACCGATCTCTGCTTGCTTGACTTTGACATTAGCACAATCGAGGGTAAGCCCTACTCGTGCGCTGCATCCAGCGGCACCCCTGCACAGAATGGCACGGTCTCTGCCAAGGGTATCGAAGTCGCGAAAACCATCATCAATGGATTGCATGACTCCCAAGGTCGCCGTGTCTACTTTTCCTACCAGCCTACAGCCGCCTTCGATGATGCCGAGACGCAGTACAACTCCACAACAGGCCAATGGGGACTCGATATCGATCAGCTTGGAGGCGAATACATTGCTCTCTTAGTAGAAAAGAATGGCACTACACTGGACAGCCTGGATGGAGTTACCTATGACACGCTCAAGGACTGGATGATCTCCGGCTTGCAGGAATACTACAGCACCTTGCAGACCACATGGCCGGACCTCACGCCCTTCCACAATGCTGGAGGTAAAGTCATCCATTTTCATGGTGATGCCGACTACAGTATTCCCACCGCCGCATCCATCCGCTATTGGGAATCAGTACGCAGCATTATGTACCCCAATCAGGACTATAACTCCAGTGCTGAGGCGCTCAATGAGTGGTATCGCCTGTACACTATCCCAGGAGCGGGTCATTGTGCGACCAACGATGCTATGCCCAATGGCCCCTTCCCACAGACGAACATGGCTGTGATGATTGACTGGGTGGAGAACGGAGTAGTGCCTACAACGCTGAATGCGACCGTGCTCCAGGGAGAGAATGAAGGACAGAACCAGCAGCTCTGTGCTTGGCCACTGCGACCCTTGTGGACCAACAATGGCACCACCATGGAGTGCGTGTATAACCAGCGTTCAATTGACAGCTGGCATTATGAGTTGGATGCGGTTCCCATGCCTGTGTACTAGGGGCTGTTTATTCGAAGGGGGCCAGCTTGATTTGTACATAAGATCGGTTGTCAATATAGCCGGACTAAGTGGACGCTACATTTCGTTTCCCAAATACATATCTGAAGACTTGATCCTTTCCTCGTTGTTTTATTTGTCAAAGTCCGGGGTATGTAAACAGTGTAGTCAACAACCTTTGGCCGGGACTGCAAGTACTTTCTACCTGCGGGAAGTAAGTTTCCATCTCAGGACGTATATGCGTTGAGTACTTACCATACCCATCTTGATTCTCATATCCAAAAGCATGACAGACCAGTCGCATATCAATCACACCCGGCTCATGCTAGATCACAAAGCAGAGAGCTTATCATACTATAATACTGCGATATACTGAAGAAAAGGAGATTCATATAAAGTCATTGGTAGTATGAAATATATGGAAACTGAAAATACGGGTCACCCCCCATCCAATAATGATCCATCAACTTGAACCCCCCAGGTACTGCCCTTTGAAACATCCCACTCGGATCATACTTCCGACTAACCTCCTGAAGCCGTTGCTTATTTCGAGGCCCGTAAGATCCAATTGGATCTTGAAAGTCAGATGAATAGTTCATCAGTTTAAAACGAGACCCCGTCCCACGCGAAACAGCCTTGTCCTCAATCCTCCCTAGCAACAACTTCATTGAATCCAGTACCACTCCATCTTGCTCCTTATTATCCCAATATGCCAGCAGCAATATCCCTATCAACGGCCCATCCCCCCGATGCAACCCCAAGACATTCCCTCCCAATTCCTTCGACTTTCTCATCAACGACACAGGATACGGCTGGAACGACATCGACAGCCGCAGTCCCTTCGTGAACCTCACCGGATCCACCACCTCAAAGAACTCACGAAATATCTTCAACAGTGTGTCCTCATCTGCCTTCACTGTCGTGTTCATATACGCACACCTCGTCTGCCTCCGATCCCTTTTCTTCACATCTGGTTTCTGACTCCAACTCTCCATCTCCACACCAGGACCCGGACTCTGACGCTGCTGCACAGACGCCACAGCTTCCGGAACCGATACCATCCCCACGCTCCGCAACTCTTGCACCTCATACGACATTTCCATGAACGGTCGGAGGGCTTTTGGAAGCGCTCTAGCACGAGTATAGTACAATTTATTCTCACACAGATATCCCCATTCACGTTGATACACTATGGTCGCTCGCAGATACATATCGCTCATATGCTGCGACGTGTGTAGGACCTTCATCAACGCTTTAATCTGAAGTGGGAACCCGCAGCACTCATACCACAGGCTCCCTCCAAATAAAGAGCCCTGAGGAAATGTCCGCATATCATACCGAGTGACGATTCCAAAGTTGTTGCCTCCGCCGCGTAGAGCCTCCCAGAGATCGGAATTGGTTTTCGGATTGGCATTCACAATTGTCCCGTTGGCGAGCACAACTTGGAAATTGACGACATTGTCGCAGACGAAGCCTTCGCGGGATGAGAAGAGTGATAATCCACCTGGTCGGAGTTAGTCGCCATCATTATTGATGAAGGAAAGAGAAGAGAGGAGACAAGAAAGACTTACCACCTAACGCAACACCCCCAATCCCACTCTCCGTCGAAAGCGGTCCCGCAACCGCTAACCCATGGCTCGCTAGGAAATTATATACATTTCCCCATCGCTCCCCGGCCTTGATCCTTACAACTTCTCCCCGAAGCTCAATTCCCTGGAGTAATTTCAGATCGACCATGATCCCGTTATCGAGATTCGCACATGCGTGTGTTGTCTGTTGACCTCCACTCCGTACTGCGAACCTGATTTCCTCTCGATCAGTGAAAGGCTTGACGATGCTCAGGAAGCGCGATACGTCTGTGGTGTTTCGCGGACAGAAGATGCATCCTGGTTCAAATTCGCTCTCTGTAGCTGAGCTGTGGGAGTCATTGAGTTTCTCGTAGGCAGATTGGCCGGGCGCGAGGACGAACTTTTCGGAGAATATATCCTTTAGGGCTGTTTTCAAAAGAAACACTGTCATTCTTGCTGTCCTTGGTTGATTGAATCGAACGATAGGATTGGTAGATCGGGAAGAGTGGGCGTTAATGGTCTAATGCATCGGTTTGCTGCTGTGTAACAACCATTTTTGGGAGTTGAATGGGACTGTGGCTGGCTATATATTCAGCTATCAGTTTGAGGGGCGATCTTGCATATACTACAGAGGGAAGAAGCCTTAACTTGTTAGGGTGTCCCCTATTGTTGGTGAGACTTGACCTCATGAAATAAATTGAATAGTGATCGGGTGGCCAAGTACAACTCAGAGCGTATATCTCGTGTTGTACGCAGCCCATGCTGTCGGATATCCTCTGGGAACGGCCCGAATATCAAGACAAAGACGTGCCGTCAAGGTCTATATATTACCCAATGTTAAAAACATCGCTATGTCAGATGACTCATTTGATCTACAATGCGCCGAATACTTTGAACTCTCTATATATTGTATTCCTTTATCTCCGCTAATTCTTACGCTAATTTCCGCCCCTTGCTTTGCCCTGCGGGTTTAACGGATCTATCCGTCACTCACCATTTATTGTGCGCTTCGTTGCCAAATTGAGCTTGAACTTTGGTAAGGCATTACATCGATCGAGAATGTAGCAGTGAGATGGAAAGAACAGCAGCCACCATGTCTTCAATCAGGGTGATAGTTCCCGATCCAGTGATAAAGACAGCTGTTCGATTAATACTTTGGCTGGAATCCAGGTAGTAATCCAACATGGTAAGGGTATTGCGAAATCTATCACGACCATAGTCTCATATCAGAGACTGTGTTGATGCTGTATGGGCCGTATCTATGTAGGATAGCGAATGAGCTTGGCGTCGTCTACCCACGCTGTGATACTTGTCCAACTGTTCCCCCTCGAACTGAAGACCAACCGCAGCCGAAACACCGGTCTGAAACGACTGTTTGGCCGAAGCCCAAAGGACAAAGCCGGGATCACCGGGCATGAGACAAAGTTTTTCGACGTCCACTCCGACACTCTTGCGGCGGTAAGCCAGGAACGCCTCATAGTTGGTCATGTGCCGCTAGCAAAACGTCAGTGTATCGATCAATGAACGAGCCTATCTTCACATACGGATTTCTGTGCTGTTGACAGGCCATGGTAGCGGCGGTGTGTAGCCACCGTTTGCGCGAAGGCCTTCCCAAGGTGCACTACACACTTATTCACAGCACGAAGGACTTCTCCGTTAAAGTCAACGGAAGCTTCGTTATCCTCGTCTGCTGCCTTATGGAAGAAGTAACCACGGTACCAATCCAGGAGCTCTACGAGTTCGGCAGCGTGTCCTCTGAAATAAATGTCAATGGACCTGGATAAATATAGAAGCCATAGAATAAAGAAGTCGGAGTCGATTAGATGTCTCAGCTGGCATACTATATTACTTAATGACTCCGAATGCCCCCCGTTCGTAAAGTCTTATGACTTATCAAGAAAAAAGGATTGGCCTGGTTAGTCGCTTGCTCGGGCCTTATCCCAGTACACACATTTGCTTGTACATCGAGCAACATCTAGTTAGCAGTATTAACTGTCCGCTCTACAAATTTTCGGCGAGGGCGACGGATAATAAATGGACGTTCCGGTAGTACTGCTGCAGGTATAAACCTGCCGGAAATAACCATGTAGATCATGATAAGTAACATATGCTTGTCCCAGTTCTCGTTAAGAGCATTGACCATTTCAAGTCTTTCCTAGTGGTCGAGCTCCGAGTAAAGCATCATACAGTCGAAGCCTGCAGATGTAAGCTCGCATACACATAAATTTTCTCAGCTGTAATGAGCGGAAGGTAGAAGTCTTGTCGAAGCTAGCAATTAACCGCGAGGTGGGGTTCCGTAAGCAGTACGTTTCCTTAAGAACCGCGGCGTCATGTTGTCCAGCCAATCCGATAGGCGGGCATTACAGCACAGCAGAGTTAAATATACTGTATGCCTGTTCGTGTTGGAGGCTAGGTCAGTGTGAGATGGTTTACTCAAGGATGGAGCTGTTCATCCAAAGCGTTGGGAGTATATTTTCTGGCGATAAGGTATCTTAGAAACGAGTACTCTCTCAACGATAATAGATGAAGACATGTACCCAAGTAGCTTTTGGATTCGCCTGAGTAACCGGGTACTCTGTCACCTTTTGAGGATAATCAATGTAAGCTTCCCTCTCAACTGCACATCCTTCTTTCGAAGGATATAACAACACGTTATGGCGGTGTGCAAAGCGTGCCGCGGAGCCAAGTTTTGATACATATTGTTAATGTTTCCGTATTTGCTCAGAGTGTATACATATGCAAACATTTGCCTAGGCGCATACCGCGGTAGATTGATCTATGCTGCGGTCGGGTACAGCTAGAGCCATGGCCCTGCGGATCATTAAACGCTCTGGCAGGTGTCGCATGAGGGTTGCACTCTGAGTAGAATAAATAGTCTGTGGCAGGATCGAGTGACAGAAAGAGTCGGTTGGAAGGATAAGAATCTCGACGTTGACATGTCTTAGCTATAAAGATCGAAGATGTTGTCTCTTATGGAGTAGTTGTTGAGGGTTTCCTCTATATAGGCTTGCTGTGTCAACAAATGTTTCTATGAGACCCCAGGATGGTGAGGTGTGTAGTTGTTGTCTGGCTCGTTTATTTGTATCATCGAAGTTAACGATCAAGCCCGTTATATCTATATTAATCCTTCTTGTGACTGGAGCAGAAGTAGAGAGAAAGTTATTCTCTAAGGGCTGGGTATATCTAAGCTTGCAATACCATTGGAAGTCTGCGTTGACTTGTAGACATATCCCATTGGTTCAGTAGGTTGTCCTGTTTATATAGGGCTCTAGTCATCCCATGTAGGCTAAGAAGTCAATGTCAAGATAAATACTATCAATGAAGAGAGCGCGCATAGATAAGGAAGATGGGGCTGGAAGGCCACTTATATAGTTCTTCGTTCTTCAGAAGGTGCTCTTCACTTGAAAGCAGTAATTCCTTGTTACCTTGAATACTATCTCGTTCACCACTTTGAAGTCTCTGTGAAGACCGGGGGAAGGGAAACCAGCCTATGGTCCTACGATGCGTTGACTGGTATGTAATGGTGAATCTTCAAACTGATGAATAGTTGAAGTGAAAACGGCAGTGTATTGACTTCTACAATAAAGCTCAGTGGACGTTAATAAGCCCTCCTTTCCCCCCTAGGGCCATTAGCTCTTGGGTGGAGCCTGAAACCGACATGTATTACTGCCTGAGGCAACTATGAACTCCGCCCGAAAGGGGTCAGTAAGCTGGGGACACCAAACATGCACTCTCTACGAAACGATGATTTAATGCTAGCTTGGGAATTGTATTTGCCCGATGGCAGTTCATCATCATAGTCGGGTCTGATGGTACAAGTGCTATTGGCCCATTGAGCGTCTTGCTGCAACGGCCTGTCGTAACAGGTTGCCTTACAGATGGGTTCGGGCCGGCGATAGCCACTCGCGGAGTTTCCCCTATTTCCTTGCAAACCTTGGCTAACAGTCTGTTGGTAATTGTATTGTCCCTCTCAGCTGGGCTGTCAAGACCAGTTCCTGCAAATTGTAACATAATAAGCAACGATGGGGGGCCTGATTATGATAAGGATGAACCCTGCATAGGGGTGCTCGCAGTTGCAGATGGTAGCACATAAACACCACTTTCATTGGCTCTTTGGGCATTTGTCAATGCTACTACGCTTATAGGGCTGGAATTGCTGACGGCAGGGACTAGACAGGTGCCTGACTCTGGTGCATTGAGGCTGTAGTGACTGCTGAGTGGTAGCACGGTCATGGTCACCAGCTTGAGATTTCAAATGAATGATGTTTTCGAACATGATAAATCTGGAAGGGAATGGTTGTATACTAAATCACTTGAGCCATCTGCCCATATAGTGTTGAACCATCAAATATGAGAACTTCTCTCCAATGTGCGTTTGAATACACTTAATGTCTTACTAGGTTACACTACAAAAAGAAATTATCCTCGTATTTCGAATGGACCCTGCATGATGGTCTGATGGGGTAACAATGTTCCCCTGTCCAGACACATCTAATAGGCGCTTAGTAAGAGTGTCAGGCGTCCAAATAGGCGTGCTACAATGTATCTATTGGCCCTTCTTTTTCAGTTACTTCTTTTTCAGTTACTTCATCAATATGGAAGCATACGGCTTGATGAAATTGAAGTCAAAGAGCTTTGGGGTATAAGAACGAGGACGAATCCCTCCCTATCCTGAGACTTCATCCCATTCTTCATCGAACATTATCTCGCTCTAGCTTTGATTATAATTCTACAAGACCCAATTCTCTTCAAACTCATACATCATCGTTATCATGGTCAAGACCGCCCTTCTCCCTCTCGCTCTCCTTGCTGCACTGGCTCCATTTGCCGCCGCAAGGGAACTGCAAGACTGGGCTTAACTATTGTGGATGGAACCTCTTAAACATTGGTAAGTGAATTTGCCTCCCCCATCCAGCCGTCGCGTCCCTAATAAGGTCCTCTTGATAGGCAAGTACGGGGCCCAGGTCAATGGCGCCCTCGATGCTGCCCACCAGCCCACCGACGATGCCCATATTCGTGAATCCCTCTTCCACTGCAACGGTGGCGATAATGGCGACATCTCTTTCATCACATACTGCGGTGGCGGCTGCAAGGATGGCGGCAAGGACTGCAGCGACTACTGCTAGAGATTTGGCTGTGGGTTGGTACCTGACTTCTGACTGGTGGTATCGATATGGATGCGGCCATTGTACTTTATTTCCTTCATCGTATTCAACATACGGTGTAGTGGAGTGAGTCTCTAGAAAGAAAATGCAACTTTTGGGGGCTAAGCTTGGGTGCTTCCTAACATAGATAAAATATACCACGCATGTTAGGAAGAAATTCACAGGTCCCTATAATACAAAGGAAACAGCGTTCAGTGGAGAAGTCGATGTATTTCAGCTGGAACAAGTACTGGATTTCCATCACGAGAAATGTTATGGTCGCGATAAGCAATTTAAGTCGGTCAGCAATATGATAGAATGGATAGTTGATCATGTTCTTTGATTTTGAGCTCAATCACAATCTTTCGATACCGTCTTACATTGGGTCTACCTACAACAACCAACAATCGAAAACAGGCAAAGTTCGGCGTTGTCAACAAATAATGTGTCGGGACCTGAGAACTCTGCCCCACCAGCCATGCCCTACTTGGTCCCCGACTTCGAATCATTAACTTTAGCCTCCGCCTCTGCGCTTCTCCCCGGCTCACCCGACGGAAATGTCTCATTGAGTCATTATTAGGCAAAAAGACTCCCCCGCACTCACATTGACTCACGTCGGCAATCCTCCTATGCTCCACTCCCCCAATACAAGCAAATAACCCCCTAGTTGTATAACTAGCCTCGTAACCCACCGAGCCAAGAATCATCCATACAAAACTTATCCAAATCAAATAATATCACTCTGAAAATGCCGTTCACAATCCGCTATGCCACCGAGCAAGATGCTCCCCACCTTGCCAACATCAACGTACTTAGCTTCAACCACCAGGCATCATGGTCCACACTGTTCCCAAACGTCGACGTTTCCGGAACTTTGCCACTGAAAACAGCCCGTTGTCTTGACAAGCTCAGAGCGCCGCAAGTGCATGTTGTGGTAGCCGTTGACGACGATTCAGGAAAAGTTATCGGGTACTCTCGATGGTCGTTTCCGAAGGATCACGAACCGAGCGTTGTCGAATTGTCCTCTGAGAGCTTAGATGCACTAGCGGCTCATGACGATGGGAAAGCGTATCCAGAAGGTCTCAATATGGAGGCTTATCAAGCATTCAAGGACCTCTTGGCTGATTTGCAACGGGCACATTTAGAGGAGGGCGATATCAGTATGCTTGATACCCGCTCTTATATTTCTCATTGCGGTACTTGAAAGATTGGCTGTATCCATGTACTGACTACAGCAGTGTTGGAATTCCTAGCTACTTTACCGGAAGCTCAAGGCAAGGGTGTTGGAACGGCATTGTTGAAATGGGGTATTGAGCGTGCTGATGCGAAAAATGCTCGAGTATATTTGGAGGCTACAAAGGATGGATATCCGCTCTATTGGAAGCATGGGTGGCGGGATTTGCAGGTGGTGGGGTTGGATTTCACGAAGTATGGTAGCACAGGGTCGCAGGAATGGGTTGCTATGCGGAGGGATAGGAGGAGGCCTGTTGCTGGATAAGATGTTTTTGTTCAAGCTTGTTCTTTGGTCTCTTTAGACTATTGATGATGAAAAATACTCAAGTAATAGATCTCAGGCATTGGAGATACATTAATGGATGATCAATGAAAATATGGAACTACTAGAAATAATTAATCTCAAATAACTAATCTCAACTCAACACCTATCGTATACGTTTACTGGTGACAGGCTCTGGGCTTCTTATCAGATAAACTCGTGCGGAGGACTGAGGAAGCCTATCAACTTGTAGTATACCAAAAGCAGGTACCGTGCTTCTTTGACTTAATATCTAGGGCCTCCCGAATTTCGTAAAGCCTGCGGTAACTCGATATATGAGTATGAGAGGAGAGAGGAGATAGGACCAGTATGAGTACAACTTCGACTTCGGCCCCATTATACTAGAACACTTAATATTTTGCATGGGTGCTACACGAACTCATATGGCGAGCTACGATTCTTTAGAGCTCGCATGCTACAGCCGTTCACTAATATATTGCATGGCATGTCTCTAGTTTTATTTCACTTCATCATCTCCAGTTCCTAGGGGGTGAATCCCATATTCACCATGGCAAAAGGCTTCAATTAGGACATTAAAAACCTGCCTTCCTCAGCTCATCACCATTCCCCGTTTCTTGATCTTTCTTCTTACAAATACGTCCTTTCTTTAGTCTCTCATATTCCTCTTTCGCCATCCACTCACAATCTATCTTGTTCTGATGATCAGTAAACTAGAGGTATTTCTTTTCTGGTTAGGTGTCCTTGCAATTCTATCGCTTCAGTGGTCGAAGGAGACGTATAGTCTGTGTCTACTACCAGACAATTTTATATATGGTATTCAATAATACTCTTTTATGTCATCTTGCTGCAGCTATATCTCGGTTTGGCAGTATGCGCTACGAAGAATGAGTACATCGGAGGAATGTAGAATCTGCATGCAGGAGGCCTAGGAAGTCGTCTTGTTTGGAAAAATACTCGAAAAGGCAACATACAACCATGTCACTTTCGATAGTTAAACAATCGCCGATAAAGAACGTCAGATCCTCTCAGAAGATGCCTCCCATGAGGCTATGCTCTAGCTGACCCGCAGATTACTGGAAAACATCTCGGAAAAAAAAAGGCATGGGAAAGTCCTGTAGAAGGCTTACCGTTCAACTCAAATGCGCCAAACCCAGCATACTCCGAGGCCTTGCCAGATTTGTTTATTTATACATTTAATTCATCTATATAATGATGTATCGATGCCGGAAAACAGACTGTATTTTTTCGGCCTATGCATTATTAAGTATCTAGCACTTATTACTCTCTCCTATAAGAAACGAGGAACTTGTTAATGACGGTAAGTCTTCTAAGAGCGCATACTTTGCATGGACTGATGGAGAAACAGTCATTCCTGCTTTATATGGTATGGCCGCAGTTCGAACACAGATTTATACTACAGTTTCCTGCCCAACTGTTGTGCAGAGGCCTATCCATAAGGAGGAGAACCGAAGTCTCTTCATCATGACATCTGTTGAAGTGGCGCACACTTTTCTGCATTGTTATGACTGGTGAACGAAAGATGAAGTAAACCATTTTCCACGCCTATGCTGTATGGAGCTACTCTGTATGTTTAAAGCTATGCTAAATTATCACAGCTACGCCGGCTTATCCGACAAGCCATCTTGGGGCCTGTATGTCATTTCAGTCAGCATATATTCTGCATATGCTAATAATATACAGTGGAGAGCCCGTCGAAAGCAAATACGGGATTCGAAGAGAAAATTGCAGGTGAAAAGTAAGTTAGATCTACGCATCAGTTTAGCATATGCTAACAGATACAGTGAGCTGAAGCATTGGGTTTTACATTTTGGATGGCAGCAGGCCCGCTACCTGCACGAGCCGAAGTATGTGTTTTTCATACGAATCACGATAATAGAACAAAGCCCTATACCAGATTTTCGTGTGCTTTGCACTGGGCTGATGCGAGCTTAATACGCTCAATCACAAGATTGACCAGATTACCAATGGTACCGGCCTTAGATATCGATGACGCTGAATTCAATATTGATGTTTCGGCGCAGCCATGTCCTTACTTCAATGGCCATCATTGATTCGACAGCCTTTCCAGAGGTTTCAACCTCATCCATGTTCTGGCTACCAGGAATAAGGAGGGCTAGAGCGCTAATGATTCGTTTCCTAATCAGCGTCACGTTCTCCTCATTATCCAAGAATGCCTCGATTTGCTTCGCACGGGACACGAGGCTTTCGAGCTGACTAGATGCTTCCGCCTCCAGGCTATCGCAGAGTGCTTCCTGATCATACTTCAGATATTTGGAATATCGGGCATCACCGTGAACCCAGTTCTGGAAGTGAGAACGCCCAGCATTTGCGGAGAGAGCGTGTCCTAGAATAACCCGGGTTGCAGCAGTTGTGGCGCCACTTGAAGTCGTTGACTTAGCCCCGGATATAGCTAGCTGAAGGCCATCAACGATCTCGCTTTCCTGCAAGAGATACATTGAAGATGACTGGAAAGCTCGAAGAAGTTTAGGATCACGGCTAACCAAGCCCACGTCCTCGACTACTCCCAGATCGATGACAGTGGACGGTAAGCCAAGCTGCTGTCTGTATAAGTTGAAGCCGTCTAAGAAGCTGCTGGCTGCAGCATAATTAGCCTGGCCGATATTGCCCCTAAGGCCACTGATCGAACTGAAAAGAACAAAGAAGTCCAACCTTGTGTCCTGAGTAGCGTGTTGCCAAGTCCCGTCTATTTTCGTTCTTAGGACCGACCTCCAGTCACTATAAGTCATTTGGTGAAATGAGTGATGCTTTGAAACGAGTTATCAGTGTGGAATCTCAAGTAGGAGTAGCAACCTTCGAAACTTACTCCAAGAGTCATCGATAGTTGCATCACCCCTGATAAGGGTCGTGGGCAGACCGAAACAGCCGAACGGACATCGTTCAAATTCCCAACATCGCCTTGGACACAGATGATATTGCAACCCAGGATTTCGAGTTCACTGATAAAGGTTTGATGTTCCGCAGAGTTACCGGCAGATGGAGATAGATAGATTATGTGGCGAGCGCCGCTCTCAGCCATCCATCCAAAGAGCACGTCCTATTCCTCCAAGACCACCGACAAGGAGATACGACATATCGGGAGAAAATGAAATTATCTTAGTGGTAGAGCAGGCGGTTAGTGCACTAGGATCCGAGGGCATCCTTACGAGAACCTTTCCCATATGGCTGCCGGTCTGCATATATCGGATAGCATCCAAGGCGTCAGAGGCTTCAGATATCGTGGTCGGGTTGAAAGGACCGATCTTGCCCTCCTCAAACCACGCTCTTGATTGGCCAAGTAGCCTGTTGATGTTTTAGAACACTAGACCCAGGCCAACCCTTAACCATGGGGGTTTGGAAACATACTCTGATATCCATTTGCGTCTTGATCAAAAGTTCGGCAGATACCACCTGGCGACAGCACATTGTTATCTGACAGAGTCCCTGTCATGGTTGGTGATGGACTCAAGTTGCTTCCAGCAATGATGGCACTGGAGCATTCCCCAGAGTATAGGGCCTGGCATGCTTGATGCAGTGCAACTAGAGACGACGAACACGCTGTTAAGACAGTCATACTGCCTTTGTTGTCAGCCTTGAATTCCTGGGAGCTAGTATTACAGCTGGATTTGAAACGTCGATATGATAATAAATACCGTTCTTTTAAAAAGTGGGAAAAGGAACCGTCCTGGGAATAACAGCTGGGATCAGCGTACTTACCTCGGGCCTCGAAAATCAAATTCATAAGAAATTCGATTCGCCAATACAAATTGACCAGTCGCAAAGGCGTGGATCCTTTTGATTTCCTGGAGGTCCTTGACTGAGGTTTCTAGCCAATCCTCGCCAAAGACGCCAACATAGCAGCCAGGCCCTTTGAAGATCCGGAAACGTTCTCCAAAATAATTCTACCATTATTCACGAAATATTCGCATAGTATCCTAATTATATGTGGTTTGTGTTTTCCTTGCTCCAATACACGCAGGCCGTAAGGATTAGGCTCGGGATCGAGCTTCAAGCAGTGGAGACCCTAAGAAAGTACCTAAAGAATGTAGATATCATGCAAGGAATCTCAAGATATTAGCTATTCATATGAACCTCTCCAAATGTAGACTTCTAATTATATCACCTGCGAACAGCCCCACATGCATGTAAACGATCCTGGCGGAAATTTATTCACAGCCTGAGAGAGGAAGAGGTCTCAACAGCTCAGCCTGTTTAGTACTGCACGCGGTCCAATTTCCCTGCTAATCCGCCGTCGTCTAGAAGGCTGCCAAACATTGCTGCCTCGGTAAGACGTTCTACCTGCAACGCATGCTGGTTGGCATGACACAACAGCCAAGCCATGTCATCATTTAGACCGTAGGAGGCTGCACGTGCCATAGCAATGCGGGATCTCTCAGCGAGAGTTTCTTCATAGCTTTCGTCAATCACTCCATTTTTGACGTATTCAAGCGGTGCTTGGATAAAGCAGTACCAGATTTCCTTCAACATCGGTTCCCCATGGTTTCTATCAAACGCTTGCTGGACCTGATCGCAGACCAGATGTCCATTGCATGCGTTCTTCAGCGGCCTGCTAAACCCAGTGGTGTGTAGACGCTCATCGAATGCTCCCTCAATACATGCCTCGCGCTGGTCAACCTCCCGCTGTCGCACCTTAGGATATCCCAGGATAGCCCGGCGCAGGTAATGGTGTCTATCATTTTGGATATGCCAGGTCAGGAGGGTCGCACACATCCGAGAACCCGGGTAGTCCCATTGTTCCGTAAACATCGGAGCCATGCAATGAGCAAATGCGGTGAAGACGTTCGTAAGCGCCTCTTCCGTAGCAACCCCACTGTCGGTAATATCGGCAGCATTTAGGATACTGTTGAAAAGCTCCGAGTTCGGTATATCACTGCCCACGTCCACCATGTCTTCCCCGGGAGAAGACAGCATGAAGTGGAAAGCAACCGTGGTTGGATCGTATCCCCGGGCAATGCTCTCTGATGCCATCCCAATAATTGAGCTTTCATGGAGTATCACTGCCAGAAATTCATCTCGCGGTAATCTCGCAGTCTTGTTCATGAGGTTTTTCACATGCCTTTCCTCCAGCTCGACTTTACGCCGCGTATATACCATCCCCAGCTCAGCAACCTTTCTACGGATGTCGCCCCCAAAAGTGTTACGGGCCCTGGGGTTATCAAGTTCATCCTGTAAGCCTCTTTCAAACCCCGGGAAGACCTTAGAATACCCATGTTCAATAAAGAAGTACGTATCCGTATAGTAGTTGGAGTAGAGGGTTTCGGGATCGTATCCACCGATCAACATGTCGGCAAACCAGGACCCGTAAAACGCAGCGCAGGTGAGCAGGCTTGGTGGCCAGTCTCCAACATTCAACATGTCGCGCACGCTATCGGAGATCGGTGCTAACCCGGTCCCTTTGTTGCGCAGCTTACGGCCCGCTCGATGCTGCTCTTCGCGCCATTCCTGTAGCTCTGGAGAGAGGTGGACATCCACAACATATGTATCCTTGCCAGCAGGGACATGATTCTCAAGCTGGCCGTAGACTTTATCGAGGGCTTTGAGGGCTGTGTCCAGAGAAGCCTTCCAGGACTCCAGCGAGTTATCGGGCAGTATCTCGTGCACAGGATAATTGCCAGGGTCGGGGCTGTGAGTCTCCACGCCAGAGCTCTCCGGTAGACCCCAGAAGTATGAACCATGATGGAAACGTTCGATACCCGGGGGGTAGAAGCGAAGGGGCTTCTGGGTTGTGTGGTTCGTCTCAGCCATTGTGTTGGATCTTGTGTTCCTGAGCGAAGGTAGTGTCGGTTGGAAGGATTGGATATATAGATCTTCCGGACCCGATGTAGGTTCTGATTAGAAATTCTACTAAATGGAATGCTCAATAGAGTGAATGAATGAGATTGATCTCATTATTCTGAAATCAAAATAGAGAAGGATTGAAGTCCTATATATAGACATTACTTGAGCCATGTTTGAAGAATCAACTCATAATACACATCACATCATCCACGACGGTTGTCCGAAACAAGTAAGACGTATTTCCGAAAGAGAGAGAGATACAAACAGCAGAAGCCGTATTCCCTTGCTTCGCCTGAAGACGTATTCCCAAAAGATGAAGATACATATAGCAGAAGCCGTATTTCCTTGCTTCGCCTGAAGACGTACTCCTAAAAGACAAAGACACATACAGCAGAAGCCGTATTTCCTTGCTTTACCTGAAGATGTATTCCCAAAAGATGAAGATACATATAGCAGAAGCCGTATTCCCTTGCTTCGCCTGAAGACGTATTCCTAAAAGATGAAGATACATATAGCAGAAACTCTATTTCCTTGCTTCGCCCGGAGACGTGTATGTCCAGTTCAGAAAGCAGATGCGGTGCGTACTGCCTATTGCGGATTTACCAAGCGCATATGATCTCGTGAGAGCTACTGTGTATCTTCTATAGGCTCAAGTGTACACATTTCATCGTGATAATGACATAGTGCGCTGGAAATCAAGTTTTGTTTTCTTCATCGACGGCCTGGACGATTATGCCGAAGAGGAGAATGATATAATTAAACTTCCCGAAACTCTTTCTAACTGCGGGCATGTCAAGATATGCGTGTCAAGCAGGCCTGGTCGTCCATACGAGAACTTCCTACTAAGGCATTGCAGCCCTGCGATATCGCCCACTTCACAAAGAAAGACATGAAGAAGTATATCAACTCAGGTCTAGCCTCTAGTTCGAATTGGCAGAGGCTGGCCGCATCAAACTAGTTGCCATGAAACCATCGAGCTGATGTCCGCTCGAGCCGCTGGGGTTTGGCTCTGGGTTTACCTTGTCACCGACGACATCGTCAGGGAAGCGGAGAGGAGTGAGCAGGTGGCCACCCTCCGAAATATTGGTGAGGAGTTCCCCAATGATTTGGACAACTACTTTGAGCGCATGATTTTGCGGGTTCCAAAGCCCAATCACGAGATGGCGCAGAACTTTCTCGTTGTTGTCGAGGAACTACAAATTCTGCCGCTGTACGCCTTTTTTTCCCTTCTTGAGGAGGAGAGAAGGAGTGTGGACTATGCGATTAGGGTTGATATAGCACCCACGTCTAAGAAAGTGGTCCTGGTATTGTACCTTTCGTTGAAAGGAATAACCTCGCACTGTGGCAGTGCTGTGATGCGGCAGACGAAGCATCACACGATTCAGCCTCATAAATTACTAAAATCGCGATATCGGGTTATGTCATTCTGTTCTCCTGCACATTCAGCAGATTCACACCTAAAATTTGTGGCAGACAGCCTTGTGTTCTTGAGTCACCAAGACATGTATCCATTCACTGGCAGTCATCCAAACAGTGTATTATTGCTGGCATAAGAACTATAATTGTATCGAGATTCATCTTCAACCCAGACAACTGTCTATAAAATACTATTCTGAGTTAAGACGATCAGATCGTCCACTGAATATCCTCCCCAGGATGCCCCGATAATGTGACTCGTGCCGCACTTAGTCAGAAATAGCAATTAACATAAAATTAACCACAGCTACCTGCTCATAGATGGTAGTATCTGGCTTGCTCTACGCGAGTACTTTCTCTCAAGTAACTCATGATGGTCACAGGGGCATCACTTGACTGCCTTCTTTCTATGCCAGCCCCTCACCACCTCTTCTTTCTCTTCGTCATCTATCATGCTATTCGCATCGAACTCCGATGGTCTACAAATAATGTAAGGATCAACAATAAATGTCATTTCATGATGTTCCATCCTGTCAAAACCACCCGATGTTGTTAGATAGCTCCTTTGCGGTTCAGGTACCAGAATTCCTCCACATCTGACCACAGTCTCCCCAGTAACACCCCGACCCATTCATTCATGGTGTGTCGGCCACGTTGTACACCAGCTTCTTTCCACTGACCTTCCCCTCCTTCATATCTTGCAGACCCTCCAATACTCCCTGAAGCCCCCGTGGCCCCAGCTTGACAGGATGAGGCTTGACCTTTCCCTCCGCAAGGAAAGTGGCTGCCTTGCTCATGAATTGTCCCGCAAAATCTCGATCCTCCGGCTTGGCAGGAATGATGCCACCACCATAATCAAAATCCTCACCAAAAGCAGTGTATCCTATAGTGAAAAGACTGCGGACGTCATCACGGGGAACGTTCACCTTCAGCAAGGCAGAATAATCGCCGCCCTTGCTAGAAATTACTTCGCCACAGAACTTAGCGCTAGACTCAACAGCAACAGTGTCGAATACCAGCTTCAGATTGTCCTGTGCGTAATCCTTGATGGCCTGGACTGCATTCGCATCTTTATAGTCGAACACTGCATCTGCACCCAGACTCTTTACAAGATCAAAGTTCTGCGCGGAACATGTCGTCAACACAGTGTACCCCGACAACTTGGCATACTGAATGGCCAGGGTACCGGTGGCTGTGGAGCCACCGTAGATGAGAATCAGCTCAGGCTGTGCTAGTGGGGCGTCTGGTGGTGCGAGCTTCAGACTCTGATACAGGCCCTGGCCCACCGTGATTGTCCCCAAGCCGAGGGTTGAAGCTTCTTCAAAGCTGAGACGGTCGGGGATGGCGATCTGAAGATCGGCCTTCGGGATACAGTATTCGGCAAAGGCGCCACTCTCCGGGTTGTTGGAATTGCATCCTTGGACCCAACCGCAAACACGGTCGCCCTTGCGAAAGGCTTTCTTGACGCCCTTGCCGACCTCTTCGACGACACCGGAGTAATCATTTCCAATGACTTGTCCTGGAGGTTTCCGATCGGCGCTCTTCCAGTCGGTAGGATTCAGAGCAACACTAGCTGTTTTGACAAGAAGGCAGTCGTCGGGCACAGTAGGGATTGGACGTTCCACCACGTCGCGACTGCCGGGTGCAGTGATCACGAGGGCTTTCTGCATGATGAGATGAGATACGGAGTTATGGTGTGTTGTGAAGAAGCAGGGGAGATTTACAGACGAAGACAAGCGGGGGACAGAGAGGGGTTTAATAAATGTTACATGACTGCTGATTATAACGTCACAGCTTCTTTGCCAGACTAGTTATGTCCTTGTTATCTCCGATCTTACACTGAATGGATGACAGCTAAGCATTGTATTATTAATCGGTGCCATTAATAATCCAGGATGCTATGGTTTTCTAAGGCTGGCTTACTGCGATGTGATTCGACACCGGGACTCGCTAACCAGTGCCGGTCCCGAAATGGGTCCGTTCAGTAGTTTTAGCTTCTCTCCAACCGATCCATGTTCTCCAACATTCAACTATCTACCTCTGTTCCATTCTTCTCCAACTCACTGCTATTGATGTCGGCCCGGCCCAATGACATTCTTCGCTTGGCCGACTTCGTCTCTGCCCAACCCAGCCCGACCGACACCCCGTCCGCACCTCCGCCAGCGGGAATGACACCGCCTCCCCGAGAGCGGGTCCCACGGGCCTGTGAACACTGCCGGGCCCGCAAGATCAAGTGCAATGGCCAGCAGCCGTGCAATGCCTGCGCGCGCCATCCAGAACGGTGTCTCTACCGGACAGGAAGTATCCGCCAGAGAAAGAACCGTCGCACCAAGGAAGCCCCGCGACCACCAGCTACATTACTCCCTCTCCCAACCACCGAGTCGCCGACTACTTCAAGTGACTGGTCCCACACCAGTCTAAGCGATGGCCCGGCGCAGTATAAGCGACATCATGAGCTCCGCGCTGGCATTGGCGTACAGAACCCAGAGACAGGGGCATTCCAGTTCTATGGTAATTCTCATACCCCTATATTAGACGGACTCTGTTAACCCACGTAGGACCCTCCTCCAGCTTCTGCTTCATTCATCGGGTCTACCAACGCATTAAGCAGGGCTCATGTAGTGAGCCGCTGCTTGCTCGTCGTAGTTGCTCCATTCCAGATGCCATCCATCGATTTGGTTTGGAGCGTTTCATGTTTGCCCGGCCAGGGGACTCGGATCCGCGGCGGACTCATTTTCCGTCTCAGATGTTCCTCCCAAGGGAGTTGGGTGACCAGTTCATTGAGGCCTATTTCCGCATCATGCACCCGCAAATACCCATATTAATCATGTCTGAGATTGTCGATGCTTGGAACCAAATGTGGGAAACTCCTGTTCGAGACCACAGTGTCAAAAATCAGGATATCCTATTTATGGTGCTGGCTATTGGCGCTCGGATCGCCAATCTGAGGGGCAAGCAATCTGAAAGCAGTGTCGAGGCCTGGGCCGATTACTTCTCCAGTCGAGTATCTGAGGGGCCCATCTTTCTACAAGAACCGAGCATCCGGGGTGTACACTTGATGCTGTTGAAGGTACGTCACCAACATCTGCCAAGGAAGCTCGCTAACCCAATACAAGTCAATGTACGCTTTGCAACTGATGCGACAAAATGATGCTTATCTCTACCTGGGTCATGCCACCCGCATATGTCTCGTACTAGGTCTGCACCGGGCCCAGGTCACCGATGGTCGCGATCCCAACGTGCATCGGCTGCGTTTGACCTTCTGGACGACATTCTTCTGCGAACGCATCTCTTCGCTGTATATGGGTCGTCCGTCGAGCCTTTCTGACCGACAAATCGACACAGCATACCCCGAAGACCTGCCGCAGAATCTTTATGACGATACTTGCGCGCCTATGCAAGAATGTGCGTTCATCCGAGCCATGGGCGAGATTTCCAAGCTGGCGGATCGCATCTCTATTGAGATATATTCGCCGGCCAGCATAAAAACCCCCACAGATCTGGACAAGCTCAACCAAATCAGCATTGAATGCGACCAAGCCCTCCAAGCTGTCACACCAACACTACCCAGTTACCTGCACTTCTTCGATGACACGGTCCCAATTGGTGAGCCGTGGCAGGAGATTCAACGCGTGAGCCTTGGATTCTGCTACTACGTCGTCCGGATGCTCCTCTCCCGCCCGGCACTGGTGCTCACAACCTTCTTCACCTCAGTACAAGAAGCCCAATCTGCCACTGGCTGCACCGAGCTTCAAGCCTGTATCCATTCATCGACTTCTGCAGCCCGGAATTTGATTCACCTGGCTCATGACGTCTATTTCCGTCGCTTTCCAGAGATCCGCTATGATGGGGCTTTGGCCTCGTTTCTTGTATCTGCAACGTTGACTCTCTTGTATGATGTGCTTAACTTAGGAACAGATCCGGACCGAGCCAGGCAGACCTTCACGGTCGTTGAAAAGGCGATAAAGTGTCTAGATGAGATAGAGCATACGGGGTATACATCAGGCAAGGCGTTGAGTTTGGACCTAATGAGAGTGGCCAAGCAAGCCGTGCAAGCATCCGATCCCGTGGTGGACACAAACCAGGTCTTGATGGATGCGTTCCCGTGGTTAGAGTATGTTTTACCCTCTGTTATTGGACTGCGCTGACTGAGCAGTAACTGGGCATCTGCCCCGGTCGGGGAGAATCCTGATGTGTCAATGTATACGTTTCCCCCGGCGGACGTGGCGGTCATTGGCTCTTTGGCGGGGAATGAAGTCGGTTGGACCGAGACGGACGGCAACCATCTCTGGTTGGGCAATGGGTTCGAGCCGAATGCGATGCCGGGGTGTTTATTCTAGGCGCGAAAAGATTAGATTGGATAGACAGCACATAATAGACTAATGGATCATCTACGAGGGCCGGCGGCTAATCTGGCATTGTCTCCCGGCCACGTCTCTCCAGCTGAAACACCCCAACGCACCTCAGCCTTAGGGTATTATCGCTCCAATGCGATGCCTGCCCTAACCGCCATCCATCCTGGCCGTGATCCGAGCACTATCCGGAGAAAGAATCCAGAGATATTTATACCCTTCTTTCTATCCTACCTAGCTGCCTCCCATTGAGTGAGTTCCAATGTCCAAAGCTAACATCCGGGCGGTCCCTTGGACTTCCCACCTCATCTACCTCCTTCTTATCCTTCCCACTGGCCTCAGCATCACCCTCCTGCTCAGTGACTCCCAGCACTGGACCCTTACAGGCAACCTCTACACCTTTATCAACCACTACCGGACGACCGTGCAAACAGCACTTCAGATCATAGCTACTCTCCTCGGCGCCATCCAAATATTCAGCATCTGCCGCCTTATAAACCACGCCACTCGCATCCTCTTCAAA